AGCTACAGTCATCTGTATTTTTATGGCCAAAGAGTCTTTTCCAAAATGGCTGACTCACATGCCTGGAAATTTAGTGCTGGATATTGCCAGGGAACCTTCATTTCCTCACCATGTAAGATTTTCCATGGGCCTGAGTATTTTTATGTGCAGTATCAGGTTCCCTCCAAAACATTTGATCTGAGGGAGAGCTAATACTGAAGCCATGTTGTCTTTTATAACCTAGCCTTGGAAGGATATGTTATCTCTTCCATACTGTATTGGATACACAGACCAATCCTGATACAATGTGGAAGAAGACTACACCAGGAGTGTATACCAGGAGAGAGGAGATCCTTGGGAAACATCTGAGAAGCTTGTCATAAAATCAATGAAGCAAGGCCCTTCAGCTTTCCATCAATTTGATATTGTGCAACTCTCAGGTTAATTCACTCTGGAGAAAAACCTCGAGTGCAATCTTTGTGGAAAACTTTAAGCTCAAACTCACCTTAATGTGCCCAGTACATGTGATAAATCAGTACAGAGTAATACTCATATAAGGAATGTGAAAACCCCCTCAGCACATTTATGTTACTGAGCAAACGATGGTGAGATACTCTGAATGCAACAAAAAAGCCTTAATGTTCTCTCAGTTTTTTGAGAGATGTGAGAAAGTCCTGTTAAATGTAATCAGTACTGGAAAGTCTTCCCTTTTTCTCATTCTTAGAAAACTATGAGAACTCACTGCAAAAAATATAAAGATTGAGGGAATGCCTTTAATGATACCTGTTACATTAGGAAAAATTTGAAATACTCCCTGGACGCAAAACCTGTCATTGTATTAATTTTGGAAGATCTTTCCATGATTCCTCGTTGTTGACTTGTGAGAATTCACAGTAGAGGAAGACCCTAGGAATGTAATCAGTACAAGGATGGCTCAGCCTCACCTATTCACTGAGTAACCACAAAATAAACATGGAATGGAAAATGTAAACCAAAAGAGTGTGGTATATTACCTTTAACAGTGTCTAATCCTTAGATTGGTGCATTAATTTATTAATTTTTAGTTATGTCTTAGTATAAACATTTATGTCTATAGCTATAGCCTAAAATAAACCTTAAATTTTGTATTAGTTTGGTATGTCATATTTACTCTTTGAAGATATCAATATATGACAAAGGTATTTCTGAATATCTCCTCAGTGATTTAGTTTACCATAATGAAACACTGTATGTGCTATATACAATACTTTTCTTCTCACGTAATGGCATTTTGTCAAGTGGACTTTATGATGTTGATTCTTTTTTATATTTATACCAGAAGCCCGATGCACGAAGATTCGTGCAAGAATGGGCCGCCTTTCCCCTGACTGCCAGCACCTTCTTCGCACTGGCCGGAGCCACCTTCCCACGCTTCCCAGAGGCCTGGAGCAACTGAGGTCTCACCCCACTCCTGGCCACTCAGCAACTGCATATGTAAATTAACCTGCCATCTTTATTGGGTTAATTTGCATAGTCACTCCCGATTGGCTAGGGGGCTTTGCAAAGGTATTGTCAATTAGCATGTTACTTTTTATTAGGGTAGATCCTAGTATAGCAGTTACTTTTAGCTTCTCCAGTGCCCATTCTCCCCTACTTTAAGAAAAAAACATTTTGTTGCCCTAGCTGGTTGGCTTGGTGGGTAGGGCGTCAGCCTGCAAACTGAAGGGTCCCAGGTTCAATTCCAATCAAGGGCTTATGCCTGGCTTGCGGGCTCAATCCCCAGTAGGGGGCATGCAGAAAGCAGCCAATCAATGGTCCTCCCTCATCATTGATGTTTCTCTCTTTTTCCTCTCTGAAATCAATAAGAAATATATTTTTTAAAAAAAACAAAAAACAAAAAAAAAAAAAAAAAAAAAAAAAAAAAAAAAAAAAACCACATTTTGTTGAAGTTGTCAAGCAGTATTAAAAATATTCAGTATGGAAAGCTTTCCTGAAACCCAACGATGTGTTGACTTCCTCTGCTGACCATAAGTAGGTATAAGTCACTGGTATAACATCATCTGGCTTGTTTGCCTCACTAAATTCTATTCACCTTAATTATTTTTTTCCCTTGAAAGTGTGCTCAAGGCCTAGAAAAGCTATATTTTAATTATAAGGATTTAAAAAATCACAATGATATGGGCTCCCAGGAAACTTCTGATTGGCTGTGTCAACTCTAGATTGCTTCTTCTTAGGCTTCTCTTCAAGTTATTAAAAGTTACCTCTGAGTGATTAGAGCCCAAGTGATTTTGGGGATTTAGTTTTGAGGAGGTATTAATATCCAGTTGAATGCAATATTTTACTGGTAAATCTATTAGTCAGATTTTATATTTCATATTTGTTTAAAAACGTGCGTTCTGTAATTTTTAAATATAGAGTGTATGCCCATTAACCCAAGCTAATTGTTTTTTTATATAGTATGCACATTCAGTTTTTTCCTCAAACTTATTTATATTTAGTAATAGATGTGTATTCAAGTCTTCCATTTTGGTTATAAATTAACATTTTTGTAATTTTTGTTTACATATTTGATGCAATGTAACTAAGCAACAGGATTATTATTTTCTTGTGAACTGCTTTTTATGTAGGGGCCATAATTTTTATAGCTAAGTACTTCAATATATTAATAAATGATCAGTCACTTATATAACTTTCTATATACTGAACACTTCTGAATGCCTTATGAATATTCACTTATTGAGTATTCAATGTAAGCTTCAAATGTACAGGCTATTAATATTCCCATTTTACAGATCAGAAAACTGGTATGATACACTTAATGTTATTTACCTGAGTTACTGGCTAGTAAATGATAGAGCCCAGATTTGAACCCAGACAGTCTGTGCACTTAACCACTGCCTCTTTATTAAATACTAGAGGCCCTGTGCCCTCTCAGAGTCTAGGAGCCCTTGAGGGATGTCTGACAGCTGTGCTGGTGGGAGAGGCTCCCACCACTGCCATTGCACTTGCCAGCTGTGAGCCCTGTTACTGGCTGAGCAGTGCTCCTCCTGTGGAAGCACACTGACCACCAGGGGGCAGCTCCTGCATTGAGCATCTGCCCTCTGGTGATCAGTGTGTATCATAGCAACCAGTCGTTTCACCATTCGGTCTATTTGCATACTAGGCTTTTATTATATAGGATGGCTGTCCTGATTTTAAAAGAGGGAAGGTCATTTGGCACTTAACTTGTCAAGGACATTATATATGCATATATGCATACACACACACACATATCCCCCTAATATGCAAATACACCGAACGATGGAACAACCTAACAACTGGTTGCTATGACCTGTGCTGACCATCAGGGGGCACACGCAGAACATGGCGGGTGTCAGCTGCAGTGGGATGGTGGAGCAGGTGAATGGGGGCGTCAGACCACAGTAGCACAACAGTCACTGTCATCAGGGTGAGTCTGGTGATTACTGAAAATTCATTGCTCCCACATGCTGCAGTCCCCACCCAACACTCGCACCTGCTGCCAGTACTGGCCCTGCTCACACCTGCTGCTGGCAGACATCTAGCACCAGCCCCAAACTCAGTGTCATCCCCAATTACTTGGCGCCATCAGCGGGTGCAAGTGGTGGCTGCCAGCCCCAATTATCCCTCTGGGATTCTCCACCGCCCCCTGCTCTTAGGAGCTATAGGGGCAGCAGCCACCATTGGCACCTGCTGCTGGTGCCAACCCCAATCACTCTGCTCTGTCAGCACATGGGAGTGGTGGTGGGAACAGGGATGCCAGCAGACGGGACCAGGGGCTGCAGTGGGAGGGGCCAGGTGGAGGCATGAAGGATGGGCAAAGACCTGCCCATGTCCACTGCAGCCTCTTGGCCTATAGTTTCTTTCAAGATGCACGAATTCAAGCACTGGGTCACTAATATATATCAATAACAATAAAAGCATAATACACTAATTAGACCAGACAGCTGAAGACCTTCAGGACAAAGCTGCGGCCGCAGCAGGGCTGAAGTAGAGTTGGTTAAGGGTGATCAGGCACGCAGGCAGAGTCATTAGGGACAATCAGATAGGCAGGCAGCCATTAGGGGAAAGCAGGCAGGCAGACAGGCGAGCAGTTTGTAGCCAGCAGTCCCAGATTGCAAGAGGGTGCAGGCCAGGCTGAGGGACCATCCCACCCCCATGCCTGAATTTTGTGCACTGAACCTCTGGTATATTATAAAATGTCTCCCAAATAAAATTTTGATCTAACTGTTCTCTTTGCGCCTATTTATATATGTATTTAAATGTGAGATAATGTTCTACCTTCAGGTGGTATTGTTAAAATTAATTTAAAGGCAAACACTAGTAAGGATTGGTTATTCTAAAATATAAAAATGAGCTCAAATGCTTTTTTAAGTTTACATGATCTAAAATTAATCTTTAATAAATGTTAGTTTAAATTTTTGTTACTTTAAATTTTTGAATCATTAATATTTTACCCAGGTCTTACAAAAATAAGTCTATAATTATTGACTTTGATGTCTATGAAATGTTACTAGAAATTATAAAATGTCCAATATAAAGAATGCTAATTGCTTACTTAGTTTTCATTAAAAATTGAGGTTTTATGGGTTAAAATCTCAATATTACATGTAAAAATAACATTGCAGTATTGCAGAAGGACCTCTGGAACCTCTCAAAATATTTATCTTTTATGGGAAGCATTGTAAAATAAGTGGTAAAAAACTTAAGGCATATTGTATGCGGGTTGTAAATTAAATGAATAGTCAGTGCTGGAAGAAACCCAAGACAACCATTTAGTTTTTTAATGATTCCTGGCTGCCCAAATTTCAGTTTTTGCATTCCTTCATGCATGATAGTGCATTTAAGCTGACTTAAAATAGATGAAGGAACTTAAGAGCTGATATTGAAAGGAGACATCTTACATTATTGCCAATGTTTGACAGAGTCACTTTAAGAAATTGCCAAGTTGGGAATTAATCACTTCCTTTCTCAGAAAGCTTGCAGAAGGCATAGACTTTAGATAATGTTTCTTTTTTAAAGAAAAGAAAAGAAAAGAAAACCCACTCACTCTCCAACCTCATTGGAAGGGATCTTATCAGATGTCTAACTGCAAATGAACATCTTCCCTTGTCTCTGACACTCAATGATGGACATTAAAGACTCCTTCAGATGAGAAGCCATTGACATAAAACCAACCCTAACCCAAAGATATTACTAATTTCAATCCTAACCTTAATTTAGCTCTAATCTTAACATCAAACCTAACTCTAAACTTATACCAAAATTCAACACTAAACTTAATCTTAATGTTATATTCAATTGGAACCCTATTCCTAATCATATACTACTCTTAATCTAATACTAACCCTAAACCTAATCTCAAACCTAATCCTGCCGAAACCAGTTTGGCTCAGTGGTAGAGTGTCGGTCTGCGGACTGAAAGGTCCCAGGTTCAATTCCGGTCAGGGGCATGTACGTTGGTTGCGGGCACATCGGGGGCGTGCAGGAGGCAGCTGGTTGGTGTTTCTCATCAACATTTCTAGCTCTCTCCCTTCCTCTCTGTAAAAACAAAATCAATAAAAATATAAAATAAAAAAAAACCTAATCCTTATCCTAACCCTACACCTAACCTCAACACTAATCATAATCTTATCACTTAAACCTACAAAACCTTAAAATCTAAATTTAACCATAACCCTAACATTCAAACATAATTTTAACATAAACCCTAACCCTATTGTTAACCCTAACCCTACCTTAATTTAAACCTCAACCCTAATGCTAACTTTAACCCTAATATTATGCCTAAATCTATACCTAATCCTAACCCTTTACCTAATCCTTACCTTAACCATACACCTAATCTCAACTCCGAAACTAACTCTAACCCTTAGCCTTATACCATAAACATGTCTAATCCTAACCCCAAACCAAACCCTAACCTTAAATTTACATCTAACCCTAAGCCTACTTTAACCCAAAACCTAACGCTATGAGTAATATTTCTAACCCTGTACCTAACTCGATCTCACCCTAACTTTAACCATAAAACTACACCAATACCTGTCTCCATAAACCTAATCCTAGTTGTACTTAAAATAACCTCTACCACTAATTTAATTTATACCTAACCTCAAACCTAATCCTAACTTTAATCCCAACTGTAACACCTCAATTTCAACTCTATCCCTAAAACCCTACATAACCTCAACCCAACTCTTCCGTATACCTAACACTTTCCATAATCCTAAAAACTCATCTCATACCTTACCTCAATCCCCAATCTAATCTAACCCTAAGATTAACAACCCTAATGCTAATCCAAACCACACCTAAAACTTCAACCCTATACCTCAATTCAACCCTAAACCTGACCCTAACTTTAAACCTTACCCTATACCTAATCTTAAGGTCAATCCTAATCCTAAACTAATTCTAACCCTAACTCTATACCTAACCACAATCCTAGCCCTAACCCTATACCTAATGCTCTCTACACCCATAAACCTAACCTTAACATAAACCATAACCTTATATTAAACTCAACCCTAACATTAAATCTAACTTTTCTAAACCAGCCACATTGAGAGTGGTAGGAAGTACAGAACAAGCTGTCCGCCCCTTGCCCCACCTCACCTCACCCCAGCCAGAGTTCCAGTGCCAGGAAGAGAAGTCCCCATAATTTCTGGCTTCAAGAACCAGCAGGGTTGCAGCTGAGGGAGACAAAGAGCTGCTGGAATCCCAGGAAGTTCCTCATAAAGAGCCCATGCACAGATTTATTTAAACTCCTTCTGAACTCAGCTTGAAAGGAACCAGGGACAAAGAGGAAGAAACAGAATTGTCTGGCATCAAATTCAGAGCTTGGGAGGGGACAACTTTCTGTCAGACAAAAGTGCTGACAGAGGCTGTGGTTGCTTTTCTGAGACAACTGCCCCAAAGAGCCAGCAGGTGGGCACCATATCTGAGTCTCCATCAACCTGGCTCACACTGTTTGCCCCTGCCATGGTGATTCCCTGAGACCCTGCCCACCAAATTGCAGGCCCACCCAGTAGTTTTTCCATACAAATGGCCTATGTTGGTTCATGCTTCACACATTGCTAAAATCTTTCAAGTAGCACACGCCATACCTCTTGCTATGTGGCCCCAGACCAGGCACTAGCCACAGCCAGCCTCAGTTAACATCTTGGCCTCTCCTGTGCACCTCCAAGCCCAACTCAAGTAGCAGCCATCTTCAGATCGCTTTGCAGCTCATGCCAGGTGGCCCCAGGCAGGACACTAGTGGTGGCTGATCTTGGCTTGCACCTCCTGGGAAGCCCCAGAGCCAAGGCACCTCATAGACTGCTTCAGGCCACATTGCAGCAACATCCAACCACCTCCACAAATAATACACTCAAGGGGTGGACTCAGCAGACATCAGAGCCCTACTGAATTCAGTCCTACTCTATGGGGTGGGCTCCTGGACAGCTGATCCTCCATGGTGGTTGGTGGTAGTAGCCAGTCCTTGCTGCTGATCAGCCTGGGGGGTAAATCCCTCCCATTGATGTGGCAACAGTAATCAAGGCTCAACTACAACAGGAAGGTGTACACAACCCACACAGGGGGCCGTAGGGGGTGGGGGGAAAGAAGGGGAGACACATCTCAAGTGCCCAGCCTCGGTGATTATGGAGGCAGTGTCACTGGACCCTACAGAACACCTACTACATTAGGCCATTCTACCAAGCCCAGGACACACAGCAGCTCTACCTAATACACAGGAAACAAACACAGGGAGGCAGCCAGAATGAGGGGACAAAGAAACCTGTTCCAAATAAAAAAAACTCCAGAAAAAGAACTAAAGAAAATGGAGACAAGCAATCTACTAGATGCAGAGTTCAAAATGTGATTATAAGGATGTTCAATGAACTTAGTGAGAGCTTCAACGGCATAAAAAAGGACCATTCAGAAGTGAAACGTACACTAACTGAAATGAAGAATAATGTATAGGAAATCAACAGTAGAGTAGATAAAAGCTGAGAATCAAATCAGTAATTTGGAATATAAAGAAGCAAAAACAATCAGAACAGCATAAAAAAAATCTGCTGAAACTAGTTTGGCTCAGTGGATAGAGTGTCGGACTGCAGACTGAGGGCCCCAGGTTCGATTCCAGTCAAGGGCATGTACCTTGATTGTGGGCACATCCCCGGGGAGAGTGCAGGAGGCAGCTGGTTTCTCTCTCATCGATGTTTCTAGCTCTCTGACCCTCTCCCTTCCTCTCTGTAGAAAAATCAATAAAATATATTGAAGGAAGGAAGGAAGGAAGGAAAGGAAGGAAGGAAGGAAGGAAGGAAGGAAGGAAGGAAGGAAGGAAGGAAGGAAGGAAGGGAGGGAGGGAGGGAGGAAAAGGAAAGGAAGGAAGAAAAGGAAAGAAAGGAAGGAAGAAAGAAAAGAATCCCCCCAAAAATTAGTATCAAGAGTCGCTGGAACAACTGCAAGTGAACCAATATTTGCATCATGGGGTTACAGAAAGGAGAAGAGAGAGCAAGTTGAAAACCTATTTGAAAAAATGATGACAGAAAACTTCCCTAACCTGGTGAAGGAAATAGAGATATAAGTTCAGGAAGTTCAGAATCCCAAACAACAATATGGAGTATCTATTCTTATGAAGTTTACAATCTAATTTGAGAGACAAAGCATAAAACTTAAAGTTTATAAATGTGGTATAAACACACAATGGAATATTATTCAGCCTTAAAAAGGGAAGAAAATTTTGATATGCTACAGTATGAATGAACCTCGAAGACATTATGCTAAGTGGGGGGGGGGCAGTTAAAAAGGACAAATATTGCATGGCATACTGAGAATTGTCACATTCATACAGATAGAAAATAGAATAGTGGTTGTCAGAAGGTAAGAGGAGAGAGAAAGGAGGGTTGTATAATGGCTACAGAGTTTCAGTGTGGAAGGTAAAAAGTTCTGGAGATGAATGATGGTGATGGTTGCACAAAAATATGTATGTGCTCAAAGCTACTGAACTATCTGTATACTTAGAAATGGTTAAAATTGTAAACTTCATGTTATGTACCTTATCACAATAAGATTTACAATTTAAATATTTACATAGGAAAATTAAAGCTCAATGTAGTGTAACACAAACCAATAAATTAGAAATTATCAAATGTCATTTTAATTTTATTAAAATGTATAAATTTTAAATAAAAATAAATTTATTTTAAACATATAAATTTTAAAGAGACAGTAGAAATGAGATGTATGAGGCTGCTGTTGGTGTCACACAGCATGTTTCACAGGAAACTTGCTAAGTAGAAAGAGGACACTAAATGATGATGAAAGTATTATATAGTAAATAAATTAACCAGTAACATGGTCATTTATTTATTTTTTTAATGTATTTTTATTGATTTCAGAGAGGAAGGAAGAGGGAGAGAGAGACAGAAACATCTATGATGGAAGAGAATCATGGATCAGCTGCCTCTTGCAAGTCCCCCACTGGGGATTGAACCCACACCCCAAGCATGTGCCCTTGACTGAATCGAACCTGGGACCTTTCAGGACGCAGGCTGATGCTCTATCCACTGAGCCAAACCAGTTAGGGCAGCATGGTCATTTATTATTATTATCAAGTATTATGTGCTGCTACACTTTTATAAGGCTGTCAGTAGGTGTGTTCACACCAGCAACACTCCAAATACATGAGTAATGCACTGTGCTAGGAAGTTAGGACAGCTGCATCATCACTAGACCATAGGAATTTTTCATTATAATCTTATGAGATCATGACTGTACATGTGGTCTGTTGTTGACCAAAATGTGATTATGACACATGACTATACATATAAATGAATAGAACTGAAATGAGAGCCCAGAAATAAGCCCATCCGTCCACAGACATCTGATGTTTGACAAGGGCAGACATCATCAAATTGGGTCAAGAAAGGTCTTTTCAACAAATGGTGCTAGGTGACAGACTGTTCACCGGCACAGCAATGAAACTGGACCCTTACCTCACGGCACATACAAAAATTAACTCAAAATATATAAAAGGTTTAAAGTAGAAGGTAAAATAAACTCAAAGAAAACATCAATCTTCATGGCCTTGGATCTTACAAAAAGCATAGGCATTGAAAGAGAAAAATTAAATGAGATTTCCTCACAATTAAAACCTTTTGTGCAAAAAAAAAAAAAAAAAAAAAAAAAAAAAAAAAAAAAAAAAAAAAAAAAAAAGCTATCTAGAGAGTGAATCAACAGCCCACAGAATGGATGAAAATAGTTGCACACCCCATCTCTGGTAACTGTTATCTGGCACATACAAGGACCTGTACAACTCATCAACTAACTCTTTCCAATGGACTCGGATAGACCCTTCTCCCGAGAAGACATACAAATGGTAGACAAGCACAGGAAACGATGTTATAAATCCTTAGTCGTGACGGAAATGCAAATTAAACCCACAATAATAACCCTTCACACTCACTAGAATGGTTATAATCAAGAAAACTACAAATAATAAATGTTAACAACATAGAGAAATTCAAACCCTTAAACATTGCTTGTGCAAATGTAAAATGGTGCGGCCATTTTACTTCGTGTACGATAGTTTGGTGTTTCCTCAAAAGAATTACCAAATAGTTCAACAACTCAACTGGTAGTTCCTCAAAAACTTAAACACAGAATTAATGTATACTCCAGCAATTCTACTTCAGGGTACATACCCAAAAGATCTGAAAGCAGGGACTTGAACAGATATTTGTACACCTTCATTCATAGCAGCACAATTCACAGGAGCCACGGGTGGAAGCAACCCAAGTGTCCATCAGTGAATGAATGGACGAACATAATGTGGGATATACACACTGAATTATTATTCAGCCTAAAAACTCAGGAAATTCTGACTCAGGCTACAGCATGGTCAACCCTGAGGTCATTATGCTAAGTGAAATAAGACAGTCACAGAAAGCCACATATTAAATGATTCCACTTACAGGAGGTATCTGCAGAAATCAAATTCAGAGAAAGTAGACCGTAGTCAGGGATGAGGGGGAAAAGGAGAATGGAAAGTTAGTGTTTAAGGGATACAATTCCACTTGAGGAAAATAAAGTTCTGAGGACGGATGGTGTTGATATTTGCACACAATGTAAACGCAGTTCCTGCCATAGAACTCTATACTTCAAATGGTTTAAGCTGTAAATGTCATGCTGCACATAATAAATCACAATGAAAAAAATGAAGTAGGGATACATGTTACAGCATCCATGAACACGGAAAACAGCCATCGAAGTGAGGGAAGCTGGGCATGATCATTAGCCAAGTCAGGGTCATCTGTGAACTTGAACTCCATCAGGTTGTGAAAATGAGTGTAAGTCTCGGTAACAGTTCCCAGAAAAACAAGATGGTCTCAAATGGAAAAAGACATTTCACACCTTTGGGACAGGCGGTGAAAGTTGACATGGAACTATGGGTTAGATCACATGTGTCAAACACAAGGCCCGCGGGCCAAATCCGTCCCGCCAGGCCTTGCAATGTGGCCCGCACCGCGCTGTCATCACTGCACTCCGCTGCGTTTCCATCACAATGACAGTTTATGACTGTTCAGTAAACCATTCGGCCAGCGATTTAGGCTGGATTTTAGATTTTGGCCCCTTCTCTGATTGAGTTCGACACCCCTAGGTTAGATTATAATGTGGAAACCAAAATGATTTCCTGGGACAGCACACTTATTCTGGATAAAACACACTGCAGTACTTTATGTGAAATGGTAAATGTGGTAAAGCAATGATGGCTGCGGAATGAGTGCAGAGGAAAAGTACATATCTGGCCCTAACAGGTTTGGCTCAGTGGATAGAGCATCAGCCTGTGGACTGAAGGGTCCCAGGTTTGATTCCCGTCAAGGGCATGTACCTTGGTTGTGGGCACATCCCCAGGAGAAGGTATGCAGGAGGCAGCTGATCAATGTTTCTCTCTCATCAATGTTTTTAACTCTCTCCCTCTCTAAAAAAAAAAAAAAATCAATAATACAATATATATATATATTTTTTTTTAAGAAAAGTACATATCTGTACTGCTATTGAAACTTCTCTTTTTAATCCTCACCCATGAATATGTGAGGTTTTTTTTTTTAGAGAGAGAGAGAGAGAGACAGAGAGACAGAGAGACAGAGAGAGAGAGAGAGAGAGAGATACCAATTGGTCGCCTCCTGACCGGAATGGAACCCATACCTTTTGGGGTACAGGACAATGCTCCCACTAACTGAGCCTCCTGGCCAGGACCTTTCCTAGTCTTTTAAAATTACCGGAAAGTAAATCAATATTCAAAACACCCGTGCCAATACCAAGCCAGAGAAACAGAAGAGCCAAGTTTGTTACAAAGGCCAAGTCCTATGCAGACCCAGTTCACCCAGCGTGGTGAAGCTAATCCCCCACGCAGCAGTCCACATGCCAGGAAGAGGCATTATGGGAAGATGGCATTCGTGGCCACATGCCTTGGGTATCACAGATGCCCTGGGATGTGGGAGGCACAGCAGAATTTTTTAATTCCCATTTTCCACATCCAAAAAGCTGTTTGTTTGCAGAATCCAAAATCCAGTACATTTGCAGAATACAAAACCAACGTACCCACGTCAGCTGTGTTTCCATACACTAACAATGGACCACCAGAAAGAAAATAAGAAAACAAACCCACTTACAACTGTATTAAAAAGACCAAAATAACTGGAAATAAATTTAGCTAAGGAGGCAAAAGACTCATACACTGAAAACTGCAAGACATTGATAAAAGAAATGGAAGACACAAATGAATAGAAAGATATCCCATGCTCACAGATTAGAAGAATATCGTTAAAATGCCCATATTACCCACAGGGATCCTCAGATTTAAGGATCAAAATCCCAATGGCCTTTTCACAGAAATAGAACCAACATTCCTAACATTTTTTGAAACAAAAAACAGCCAAAGCACTCTTGAAAAAGAAAAACACAGGAGGCATCAGGATCCCTGACTTCTAGCTACATCACAAACTACAACCCAGACAGGTTGGCACTGGCACCAACACAGACACGGGCAATGGGAGCAGGACAGGGCACTGAGCCTTCGTCAACGGCGGTGGTAACCACGGACAGCCACACACAACCAACACACTGGCCACTCCGCACAGAAACATAAGCAACCGAAATAAAAACAAAATAAACAAAGAGAAAAAAGGGAAAAAAATAAAAAAATAAACAACTCTCCTCTGTAGCAGTCTCCAGGGCGGGTGCTGAGGTAAACCAAGCGTCCTCTGCACAGACTCGGATCCACACCGTCCACCCACTTTGTCCGGAAGGTCCGGAGGCGCTTCCTGTGCGTCCTGAGGGGAGGGAGCTCGGCCTGCTGCAGGGAGAAGGCACCCAGCGGTCAGGACACGCATGCTCCAGGGGGGCTTCAACGTGGGCTCAGCTGGTAGCACAGGATGCAAGTCTGTGGAGGCCACGCCCCCTTGAGGCAATGCAGCTGAATCCATTAAATTTGGGAAATTCAAGCTAAATAAAGTCATACATCTCATGACCTCCCAAAACACATGAAGTATAATTAATGGGGTGAAATGCATGTGGACGCAAACTTTACAACATACACCAAAATGCACTCGAAACTATCCTTTCCTCCCTAGACTAGGTAACTTCTAGGCCTCAGCTGTATTTCAGCTCCAGGCCCAGGCAAGCAACACCAGCCAACACTGCCCTCGGGCCCAGCTGCATGGAATAATGACCTGCTGTCTGTCCTGGAGCGGCCAATCCACCAATGGAGACCACAGAATGGCCACACCTGGAAAACACTCTCAGCACCCTTAAATCCGCATTAACCACCACCCTCTTGTTCACAGTTCTGCCGGACAACCTGCCTTAAATCGCTTACCCCCTACACCAACATCTTTCTTCTGTCTTTAGCTCCAGATGGTATCTAAGGGAGCTACTCAGTTTTTCTGCCTTTCACGTATAAGGGAGATAAACTGGGTTTTCTCCTGTTAACCTGTCTTTATTGCAGCGGAGTCTCAGCCAACCTGGTAGAGGGAAATTACTTTCCCTCCACTACACAAGCAGCACAGTGCAAAACAGAAAGGAATGACCTTTAACCTGGGGAAGGGAAGGGGTTCTACCCAAGGGAACCTCACTGGAGATCTGATGGCAAATTCCTAACTCAGAAGGTCACAGTGGCTAGCCACGCCCCAGGCACATAACTTCTCTAGTAAAAGGTTTTCTTTTTCTTTGCCTTAAACCAGCCCTAGCCATTGTTTTTGTGCATCCTGGGTAACACCCCTTTGAAATAACTACTCTCCAGAGAGAACGTAATCTTATTAAATATCCTGAATCCAACCCCCTTTTTTTAATCTCCCCGGCTCATTTAATCTCCCTTCCATTCCCTCCTCAGTTCAAAGGCATGGGACGCTGCAAAACTGTGGTTCTCAGGTGCATTGGACATCTTGCCTCCTGGCAACTGTGGCCAGTTTTGGCTCAAATGATCTCTTACAAAAATTCTACCCAGGCTTGAACGTTTCCTATGTGAACAAACCCATCTAAAGATATGGCTGAATCTTACCTGTAAATCGCCAAGTCAAAGAATCCTGTGTGAAGAGGCGATACACACCGTATGACCCCATTTCTATAACGTTCTGGAAAAGGCAAAAACTACAGAGATGGTAGGTCATGGTGTGGAGGGTTGAAATGTTCCACAGGATATTTTAGTGATGGCTATCGGCCATTGTGCATTTATGAAAACAGGTTTTTTTAGTTTTTTGAATAATCTATTCAAATTAAGTTATTGAGGATGAGGAGTGCCACACAATGGAACACAGAGTGTGCCAGAGAATGTAGCTAGATTAGAAACGTAGAAAAGTCAGTGTAGGTGGTGGGGCAAAAGGTGCTGACCTACATAACTCCGAAAAGGATCAGAATCCATAGACCGAAGCAAAATGTACTGTATGTACACAATGGGCTCTGTTTTATAGTTATTCCCCTGGGGGGTAGTTTACGATTCTGAAGCCACTTTCTATATGATCTGGAGTGGAGCGATGAACTAAGTACACGGCAGATGGCCCTAGCTGGGTAGCTCACTTGGTTCAAGGGTCCTCCTGATAGACCAAAGTTGCGGGTTTGAACCCCAGGCAAGCGGAGGTTCCAGTATCCGTGTGAAAATGGATCAGGCTGGAGACAGCGATATAAATTCATCTTTAGCTTAGTACAGATACAGACTGGTGCACACAGAAATCTTTGCAGTTGGGTGTGTATACACAGGAGGGAATGCGGGCATACATTTCCTTGCATGGTCACTGAGCACATTCAGCTCCCACACGAGGTTACGTTTTCACACCATTCTGTGCTAACAGGAACCGGGCCCTCTGAAGAGATGATGATTCAAGACTTGGCTGTGATGTTCACTTGGCTTGTTGGCTTCACAATCTGAGCTCAGCAGAGCCAACGATGAGGGAGCCGCCCCCGCCCCGGAAGGGACAGTCCGCAGAATGGCCATAGGAACAGAGGTGCTGACAACATTCATCAAGCAAATACCCTCATTCGCTAAAAACCCACATATACATTGTATTTTACAAAAACAGCGTTTGTCTAGATCTCTTGGTCCCTCCCCTAAGCCAACAAAAGAAGTGGTACTGAGGGAGCTCTATTCACACCGGAGGGTTCCGTTCCCATCCGAACATTAGGGCAGTCTGGGTAGGACCGAGCCCATTGTCCAGTGCACAGGAGGTGGGTTCCACAGGAAACCCCCCTGGGAACCAGCCTGGAGCGCCTGGCGCCTGGAGCACTTCACTGCTATCCCAGGTGAGGGCCCTGCCACCACCAGCATCCCGACCCACGGCCTGAGCTCCAGCCGGAGGCCCTGCCGGGGCGGCTTCCTGCTTCAGGAGTTGGAGACCGGGTACCCATAGTGGTTGCGGTCAGCCTCGCCCAGGGTCAGCGTCAGGGACAGGCTGGGCTTCCGTTCCAGCTCCCCTTCTTCCAGGCAGTGCTGGGGGGGCCGGGTTTTGAAGAAGTCGGAGATGTAGCGAACCTGGGAGAGGAAAAGAGGCAGCGTGGGCTGGGCTGGGCTAGGGTAGAACTGGGACCCAGGTGAGGGAGGTAGGGAATGGGACCCTGGGAAGGGAGTGGGGGTGAGGGGTGCTAGAACCCAGGAGGGGATGAGGACTGTGCTAGGGGCAATAGGAAAAGCAGAAGCTGGGATGGGAAGACTGGGATCTTAGGGGGAAGACGGGGGCAGAGAACTAGGGACTATAAAAGGAAGGAAGAGGGTAAGCAGGTCCCAGGGCAAAAGGTTGGGACCCAGGAGCTCACAGTGAGGCCGGCCACCAGTGCCCCCTGCAGGAGGCCCACGAGGACATCACTCCAGTGGTGTTTGTGGTCAGATACTCGGGTGTAGCCCACATAGAGGGCAAAGGCCACCAGGAAGAACTGCACCGTGGGCCGCAGCAGCCGTGCCCACTTCCAGCAGAGCCGCGCCTGCACGTAGAGCTGGGGGTGCAGAGGGCAGCCGTGAGCTCAGGAGCCTGCCGGGCTCACCCCGTGGCCAATGCACAGATGGTAGCCCAAGGCCAAGAGTAGAGAAGACCCAGGGCCTCCAGTTTCTATGAACAAACCACTTAGCCCAACCAATCCCCTCCTCCACCCACATTTTATGGATGAAGAAACGGAGGCCCAGCAAAGGGCCACACCAAGCAAGGCACAGGAAAGCCAACTCACCGCCAAGAACATCATGCAGTACATCCCAAAGGAGGAGTGTCCAGAGTAGAAAGACAATCTAAGAAAGGAGAGGGCAGCGGGCATCAGGAGGGCTGTGCAGAGCACAGAGCCCAGGGCCCATGCCCCGAGACCAGACAGCTTATTCAGCAAAACTACATTCAATCCCCTCCTGGTCTCCTGTCCTCTTCCACTGAACTTCCCACAATCTAAGGGAGAATTTTCCTTGGAAACATGGCCAGTGTTAGTCATAATGGGAGTCCCAAAAGAAGAGGGGAGAGAGAGAAGGGGGCAGATAGAGTATCTGAAGAAATAGCGGTTGAAAAATTGCCAAACATGATGAAAAACTTTACACACTCAGGAAGCTCAATAAACTCCAAGTAGGATAAATTCAAAGACATCCACACAGAGACACACTATAATTAAACTACCAAAAGAAGTCAAGAAACATTCTTAAAAGCAGACAAGAGAAAGGGCTCATTGTGCACATGGGGCCCTCAATAAGATTAGCAGCTGTCTTATCAGAAACCATGCCAGTCAGAAGGTGCTAGATTACATATTCAAATAATTAAAATGGGGGGCGGGGGGGGGGGGTAATAATTGTCAACCAAGAATTCTATATCTAGCAAAATTATCCTCTAAAAATGAAGGAGAAACTAAGACATTCCCAGATAAACAAAGATCCAGAGAATTCAATGCTTGTACACCTGCACTACAAGGAATGCTAAAAGGGAGTCAGTAACACAAATCCAACAAATAACATAAAAAACACCAGTAAAGGCAGTTACAAAATAGAAACGTCAGTACTAATGTATTTTTGGTTGATAATTCCTGTTTTTTTTTCCTATATGATTAAAAAAGTAACAGCATATGTGCTAACAATGTAAATGAGACTACTGTGATCATGTCACAATAAATAAAACTATGGTATGATTATGTTGTATACCTGAACAAATATAATGTTATTACACCTCACCTTTAAGAATTGCATAAAACAGTTATATATAAACCTATGTTGATAGGACACAATGGATAAAGATAAAATTTGTGACAATAACCTCAAAGGGGATGCGCAATAGTGTGTGTGTGCGCGCATGCGCGTGCGCGTGCGCATGCACGTGCGTGTGCGTGTGTGTGTGTGTGTGTGTGTGTGTATTGCACTATATATCTGCAAACATTTTGCATAAGAAATACCTATTTAACAGGAAAGAAGACAGTAATGGAGAAATTAAAAACAAAGCAAAATAAAAATATAATGCATAGGTAACAAATAATAGAAGTCTTTCCTTATCAGTAATTGCCTTAATGTGAATGTATTAAATTATTTAAAAGGCAGAGATTAGAGAATGGATTTTTATTTATTTATTTTTTTAAATATATTTTATTGATTTTTTTACAGAGAGGATAGAGAGTTAGAAACATCGATGAGAAAGAAACATCAATCAACTGCTTCCTGTACACCCCCTACTGGGGATGTGCCCCAACCAAGGTACATGCCCTTGACCAGAATCGAACCTGAGACTCTTCAGTCTGCAGGCTGACACTATCCACTGAGCCAAACCCATTAGGGTGAGAATGGATTTTTAAAATATCTAACTATACGATGTACATAAGAGACTCACTTTAGATTCAAAGACACAAATAGGATGAAAGCACAAGAATGGAAAAAAATATTCCATGCAAACAGTAACCAAAAGACTGCCAGAGCAGCTATGCTATATTACCATCAGGCAAAACAGACTTTAAGACAAAAAAATGTTAGGAGAAAGAAAGGACATTACAGTGATAAAAAAGGATCAAGCTATCAAGAAATATAATAATTACAAAGGTATACAGTATGCATCTAACAGAACCCAAAATACATGAAGCAAAAACTGACAGAAGCTACATTATGGGTGACGACCTTTGGAACATTGAAGAGGCCAGGCAAGCCCTAGTCGGTGTGGCTGTGGCGAGTGTCCGCCCGCACACCAAAGGGCTGCAGGCTCGATTCCTGGTCAAGGGCATGCACCTGGGTTGCAGGTTTGATCCCCCACCCCAGGCAGGCCTCATGCTGGAAGCAATCAATTGGTGTGTCTCTTTCACATCAGTGTTTCTCTCTCCTCTCTCCCCCTCATCCTCCCTTCCTTCCTTTCTAAAATGCAATGGAAAAAATATCCTTAGGTGAGGATTAAAAAAGTAATAATAAAAAGAAGCCAGGCAAGAAAGGCCACCCAGTATATGATTCCATGCATATGAAATGTCCAAAATAGGTTAGTCCTTAACCGGGGAGGTTGGGGGCGGAATAGCTAATGGACATGAGTTTCTTTCTGGTGTGACAAACATACTTTGAAATAAGATAGTGGAGATGGCTGCACAACATTGCCAATGTACCAAAAAAAAAAAAAAAAACACCACCAATGAATTATGTACATTGAAATGATTAAAAGAGTGAATTTATGCTATGTGAACTTTATTTCAAAGTTTTTAAAAAGAAAAATAAGTAAGTCAGTTATGGAATTCAATTAAGGAATTCTCATCATTTGCAGCCACCTGGATAGAATTTGAGAACATCATGCTGAGTGAAATAAGCCAGTCAATGAAAGAGAAATACCACATGACCTCACTCACTTATGGATAATAAAGAACATTATAAACTGATGAACCAAAAGATAGATACAGAGACAGTAAAGAAACAAACAGATTGTCAAATTACAGCGGGGAGGGGAGGGAGATCTGGGAGAGATAAGATATCAACCGAAGGACTTGTATACATGCATATAAGTACAACCAATGGACACAAAACTCTGGGGAGGGAGGATATGTATGGGGGGGGGGGCAATGGTATATGTACAAAGATAATTTAATTTAAAAAAAGTAAATAAATAAATAAATAAATTTCCTAATTAAAAAAAAAAAAACAAAGAAAAAGGAAAAGAAGGAAGTCAGTTATGTGAAAAGCTTATCAATAGATGAGAGGACAGAGCAAAAGCATGAGAACGGACTGAAATCTAGGGGGAGATGGGTGACGCCTCCTAACACTGGTGGCTCTGCTCCGGCCTGACACCCCAGCCCCACCTCCCCTCCCTGCCTGCAGGATCCAGGCCCACGGGCTCCGCCCAGCCCTGCTCCCCCCCCCCCCAGCTCCCCCCGCCGTCCTTCGCCCAGTGAGGTGCCTCTTCATCCTTCTGGGGGCCCTTGTCAGCCCTCGCTCCCCCAGCAGCACCCCGTGTGACGGCCGCTCCCCCAGCACCCACCTGGACTCGGTGACGTTGGCAGGGCTCCCCCTGCACACCTTCTCCACCTGGACGTAGACGGAGCAGTTGACCCGGCTCCAGTCGGGGTCACACACCGCCAGGAAGTTGGGCCTCAGCCGGCCAATCATGTACTTGGCCAGGTCTGTGAGGGACTGGCTCACGGCCGCCCCGAACAGGAACGTCCCCAGCACCTTGTAGACGGCGGCCAGGTAGTTGTTGAAGTTGGAGCGGGAGTAGAGCCGGTCCGTGTACACCAGGTAGGCCTCTCCGGCTGAGACCTGCAGAGGGGCCAGCCCAGAGGCCTCAGGGCGGGACCAGAGCAGCGACCGGGGGTCTCCGCCGAGCACTCACTCCGTCCTCCCCACGGAAAGGGGTTTGGGATTCCTGCCTTCCCCGAGGCCACTAGGGAGCTGGGAACGCAGTAGGGGGTCCTCTTCCCCACAAATACCACCCAGGGCAGATACAGGATGTTCCCACCCCCCCCACCCCCGACAAGCCCCTCCTGCCTTACAAGGATGACGGTGGTCGTGATGGTGACCCCGGCCATGAGCCCATGAGTGATGGTGTCTGGACGGTAGGGGTACCGGATGGAGTCATCACTGCAGTAGAACCCTCGCTTGTACGGGGCATTCACGAGCGTCAGGATGGCGAAAGGCAGAGAGGCTGGGGCGGAGGAGAGAAAGCATGTAGCCACCTGTTCCTCCCTGGCACCAGCCCGAGGGCCACACAGACCAGCCTTCGGAGTCTGCACACCTGCCTCGGCCTCCCTCCTGGTTCCTCACCTTCATGCCCACCATTATCACCCCCTCAGGGCTCCCCATCACCCTCAGATACTAACACCAACGTCCTCCTCAGGACCATGCCCACCCCACCCCTCCCCCCACTTCCCTCCATCCTCCTTCCTGCTCCCCGAACAAACCCAGAAAGCACCCACCCCAGGACCTTTGCACGTGCCTTTCTCTCTACCCAAAGCATCTTTAACTAACTTCCCTCTGGCCATTCCCCTCTCCTGACTGTCCCATAATCACTCTCCTAGAAGGAAATTTCCATTCTTCCTGCTTCTTGACCTTGTATGTAATTATATACTCATTGGTACTTGGTTAACCCCCTCCCCCACCCAACTGTGAGCACCAGAGCGGGAGGCTGTCATGCTCAAGGCTGAGTCCCAGGCATTTAATAAGCATCAGTAGGCCGAAACCGGTTTGGCTCAGTGGATAAAGCTCGGCCTGCGGACTGGAAGGTCCCAGGCTCGGTTCCGATCAAGGGCATGTACCTTGGTTGCAGGCACATCCCCAGTAGGGGTGTGCAAGAGGCAGCGGATTGATGATTCTCTCTCAGCGATGTTTCTAACTCTCTATCCCTCTCTCTTCCTCTCTGTAAAAAAATCAATAAAAATATATTTAAAAAATAATAATAAATAAATTAGAAAATAAATAAATAAGCATCAGTTATAAGAGGACTTCCTGCTCTCGGATCTGAGATGCCCACGTTTCTCGTTTGTCCCTGAGCCGGCCACACAGCGACCAAGCCAGACCAGACCTGGAGCTCCGCCCGAAGACACCTTCAGGAGCCGCAGACAAAACCAAATCACGAAAGGGTAAGTCACCCAGGCAGGGGGCCCTGCTGGGCCGGACGCTCCCGGGCCCACACGGGGCTCCCCGCTCTCCGGAGCAGGAGCGCCGGGACAAGCTCCCGCGGGGTGTCCTTTGCCCCTGGCAGGGCAAGTGACAAGTGTAAAAGGGTGTGTCTCTTCTGGGGACGGTAGAGCCAACGCCTCCCAACAGGCCAAATCCCAGGGCCCCAGGGACCCGTTCGGGGTGGCATTGAGCACCTCTGATGCCGAGTCTGGGGAGACGCAGAGGAGAAAACAGGGGTCAGAGGGCTTAGAAATAAGGCATCAGTAAAAGATGACTGGGATCAGCCCTAACCAGTTTGGCTCAGTGGACAGAGCGTCGAACTGCAGACTCAAGGGTCCCAGGTTCGATTCCGGTCAAGGGCATGTACCTTGGTTGCAGGCACATCCCCAGTAGGGGGTGTGCAGGAGGCAGCTGGTTGATGTTTCTCTCTCATCGATGTGTCTAACTCTCCTCTTCCTCTCCCTTCCACTCTGTGAAAATCAATAAAATATTAGAGGGAAAAAAAAAAAGATGCCTGGGATCGGAGAGGTGGCTGCAGGCTTCAGCAGGGAGTGTAGAGTGGGTCCCAGAGGGGGTGGCTCAGAGGAGGTGAGGAAGCTCAGAGGGCATCTGGGGAAGGGTGCCAGGCACAGGGAACAGCCAGCACAGGGGTCTGCAGGTGCGACCACGCCGGGGAGTGGAGCACGGGGAAGGAGGACTGTGTTGGGCTGGAGGATGGGGGACATTGTAAGAATGTGAACCTTGCTGTGAGGCGGGGGCGCAGGAGGGTGTGGAGCAGAGGAATGGAGCACGTTCCATTTCACCCTCTGGCAGCGGGGAGGCCAAGGAGTCCCTCACAGTTGCGTGTGTGTCTGTGTGTGTGTCGGTGTGGGGGGCAGCGCTGGAAGATGCTGAGAAATCACGTCACACAGGGTGCCTGGGCAGAGAAGTCCGCCTCCCAGTTACCGTCCCAGCCCCTTCCTCTGGGCACCGGACACCCCCCACAGAGCCCGAGCGGCGCTCTCCTGGGACTTGGGCAGCAGAGCTCTGTGCACCCAAACCGGGACCTCCCTCCGCCCAGCTTCCCCGGCGCCAGTGTGTTGTCTGGGCCTTTGTCAGCATTGGAAACTGAACTGTGTGTGTGCTGAATCTTCCAGAATGGGAGAACGGTCTGCCCGAGCCGGCTTCCAGCACACAGCAGCTTCTAACACACGGCCTAATCTTAGCTCTGCCTCCCCCGTGACCTCTCCGGAATGAAATTGGGGATTATGAGAGCTCATCCTCCGCGGGCTGTTTGGAGGAAAAAGGTTTAATTGTTTGCATGTTGCTGAGCGCTCAGCATACAGTAAGTTCCACAGCAACATTTAAATAAATACTAAGGCAGAAGCCCGGGAAATGGGGACCAGGGGACTTCCTGCCGCCACCTGGCATAGGGTCTGAGCGGGGACGCGGGAGAGGGGCCTGGCCCCCGCCATTCATTAGGACTGAGCCCCCCATCCCTAGGTCCCCCGGTTTGAGGAGTAAGAGCCAGGTAGGGGGGGGGGGGCGGGCAGGGACAGGACTTTGCCGGAGGGCCCCTCCCCCGCCGCGGGTAGGGTTCCGGGACCATTGCCCTCCCGGCCCCAGCGCAAACACTCGGCCTTTGTTTCCGGGACCCTGGGAAAGGGGCGGGGAGGGGAAGCGAGGGGGCCCCGGGCTGCCCCCTCCGCCGGCCTGGCCCGAAAAGCCGCCCAACAGGTTTGGCCGCGCCTCCCCGGAGCCCGCGGTCCATCCGCAGCCCGGGGCCCCGCTTTCTCTCCGTGTTTCCCCGGCTGCGCGGGTTCGAGTCCCACCAGCGCGCGGCGCGCCCCGGGCCAGGCTCCAGCCTCCCGGCCCCATGGGAAAGCCGGGCCCGGGCCGGAGGGTAAAGGTCCTCGGACCGACACCGGCACCGGCACCGGGCGCACCCCGCCCGCCCCGCCCCGCCCCTACCGGGGCCGCCGCCCGGTGAATCACCGCCGGCCGGGCGCGGCGGGGAAGGGGGCGCGGCGGGAGCGGGCGCCGGCGGCCCTGCGGTCACTTCCTGCCGCCCCGGGCGGGGGTGCCAGCCCCGGTGCCAGCCCCGGGCCGCTCCTGACCTGCTCGTGAACCCGGCGCGGGCGGGTAAACTGAGGCTGGGCGGGCGCATGTCCCCTGTCCCAGTCCTCCTCCAGAGGCGGCCTCAGGGAGGGGAGGCGCCGCCAGCACCCAGCAAACCTGGCGGGGCGAGCACCCCCTGGGAGGACCCCCGCCGCCCGGTCCCCGGGCTCTTACCGACCAGCACGCACAGCACGTCGAGCAGCACGAAGACCCACCTCCGCTCCATGCCACCCCCGCCCGGCAGCGCCCAGACCCGCGCCGCCAGCCCCAGCGCGTCCCGTCCCGTCCCGGCCGGCCGCCCGCAGGTCACATGGCCGCGGAGCCGGCCCGCAGGGGAGGGGAGGGGAGGGAACGGGAGGGGAGGGGAGCCGGGAGGGAGGGGAGGGAGCGCCCGGCGGGGCGGGGCGGCCCCGGGGGAGGGGGCGGACTCTGCCCCCGCCCCGCCCGCCCGCGGCGCGCAGGGAGGAGCGGGGTGCGGGGTGCGGGGTGCGGGGTGCGGGCGCGCCGCGCGGGGCCCGGGGTTTGGAGGAGGGGGGCGGGGGTCTCTGAGCTGGGAGGGGTCGTCAGTGCCCAGTTACCCCCAACCCGCTACCAGGCCGGAAGGCTAAGGCTCAGGGACAGGGGGCCCTGGGGTCACACGTATTGGGCCGGTTGAGTCCAGGGGACGCGAGACGGGGTGGGGTGAGGTGACAGGAAAAGAACGAGGGCCCTAGCCGGTTTGGCTCAGTGGATAGAGCACGGACCTGGGTTTGATTCTGGTCAAAGCCACATGCCAGAGTGGAGGACTCCATCCCCAGCAGCCGGCCTGCAGAACGCGCCAGTCGGTGGTTCTCTCTCATCACTGATATTTCTATCTCTTTCTCCCTCCCTGTCTGAAATCGGGAGGGAGGAAGGGAGGGAGGGAGGGAGGGAGGGAGGGAGGGAGGGAGGGAGGGAGGGAGGGAGGGAGGGAGGGAGAGACAAAGGAGGGAGGGAGGGAGGGAGGGAGGGAGGGAGGGAGGGAGGGAGGGAGGGAAGGAGGAAGGGAGGGAGGGAGGGAGGGAGGGAGAGGGGAGGGAGGAGGGAGGGAGGGAGAGACAAAGGAGGGAGGGAGGGAGGGAGAGAGGGAGGGAGGGAGGGAGGGGGGAGGGAGGGAGGGAGGAGAGAGGGGGGAGGGAGGAAGAAGTGAGTGAGGGGTGAATGGGCAGCCCCAGCAGAACTGCGGGGTGTGGAGGAGCTCAGCTCCGGCTCCACAGGGTAAGTCCCCAACCTCCTCATTGGAGAGGCACTCATCCCGTGTACATTTCAGTACCCTGAGCCAGTAGTGCTAACAGTTAAAAGGAGGGGTCCTGAGGCTGAACTGCAGGGCCCTGTGGTTCTGCCACCCGGGCAGTGAGATCAGATTCCTCAGCACCCGCTCTGGAGGCTGTGCAGGCACTCCTGCTGTGTGGCACTTTTTTTTTTTTTTAATTGATTGCTGTGCGGCACTTCTGCCCCCATCTGACAGAAGAGCAGAGGGGCCAGGAGGCAGGAACTCGCTCACACCTAGAGGTTACCTCTGTGCCCTGCACCACACAGGTCTCGGGAGCCCGAGCTGGGAGGCGCCTCGGGGTCACAATCACCAAGCCATGGGGACAGGCCCACGGGGCCATTACGGCCACTCGGTGTCCACAGCCGCACTGGATCCTTTTGGCTGGAACCACCCGAGGCCTAGGGGAGTGTGACCACCTGGGGAGACCTGCCTGGATCCGGCAGGATGTTTGATAGCAAAGGTCACACAGTGAGAAAGGAGCTGGGATTGGACCCCAGATCGCCTGGCCCCCGGGTTGCATGCCCGTGACCTCTAGACCTCATTCACCACACGCTGTCTCCGATGATCCTGCAGAGGTGCTCGGCCCTCAGAGAGGAGGGGAGTCTGGTCCAGACAGAGGCAGCCCCTAGCCCCAAGTCAGCCACCTGGGGTTTACACTCAGAGGCCCCCCACCCTGCTTCCTGGAGGGATCACAGACCTGCCTGCACTTGGCCACTGTCCAGGCAGCGGGGTTGGGGGATAAGTGTCTCTGAATCAAGTCCCCTGCGCCCCAATCAACTTTCCTTCAGCAGACACTCCTCCCCCCCAACACACACACACACACACACACACACACACACTCACACACACACACTCACACACACACACACACACACACACACACACACTCTCACACACACACACACACACACACACACACACACACACTCACACACACACTCAAAACTCAGCCCACCCCAGGCCATGACAAGGTCCTGTCTGGAAACTCTGGCCCTGACTTTTCCGTCTGCGGTGTGGCGGAGACAGTGGAAAGGATGTCACCAGCCACCAACCCCCTTTCCAACCGCAAGCCCCGAGGAGTCCCAGTCGCCCGAGACTTCCTCCGAGGCGGCTGGGAGAATCAGACTGAATTGCAGGAGGGTTTTCCGAGTCTGGGTGAGGGGTGAGGCTCTGGCAAGGGCCGTTTCAGGCTCCGCTGAATCCCGCGGGTCCTCCTTCCCGCCCCACGCAGGCTCCGGATCTGCTCATTGGCTTCTATCGCTGCCACTCACAGGGCAGGCCCCAGGGGAAAGCTGGTCCGGGCTCTAACTCCCGCCAGCCATTCATTCGTTCGTTCATTCAGGCAGCACAATCTGAACTAGGGTTGTTGTGAGAATTACCTGATAAAATACTGGAGAGCCTGGCAAAATGTTACATAAATATTAGCTTTATTGCACTTCTTTTCACTTGAACCTCGTTTCAATCGAGTGACTACAGCTCATCGCTAGCCCGTCAACACTTCCAGCTTTGTATTGGAATCAAGGAAATGGAGAGTTCTTTATTGAGCACCTACTGCGTGCTGGGGGTAGGAGGGGGGGTGGAGGACGGGACTATGAGACACTCGCCAAAGTGGAGTGTGGTGGTGGAGACAACCTGGGGTGCTACAAGGTCAAATCCAGGAGGGTCTCCAGGGAGGCTCCGGCAGGCAAACGCCATGGGTAGGAAGGGCTTGGCCTGATCCCTGCTGAGGCAGAAGTGGCTGGAGCAGGGGCAGGAGGCTGGAGGAGCTGGTGTGGCTATCGGCCCTCCCCACTGACCTCCACCTCGTCCTGTTCTTAAAATATCTGGGCAAGGTCAGGATTAAAATCTAGCAGGGCAGTAGGAATTAGGATTAGTGTTAAGATTGGGGTCAGGGTTCTAGCTGGGGTCCCCCACTTAAAAAAGCTTTCACACCTGGTCCTTTACAGAGAATCAGAGCCAGAGGGGGCCTGCTCAGGATGGCTTCTCCCTTACCTGCAGATGGAAGCTGGAAGGAGACCGATGTACCAGATGTACCAAGCAGAACCATGCCCATCTGCCCTACAGATCCCACCAACTCCGTGTTGCCCGGTCACTCCCAAGCTGTGATACTCAGGGCTCAGGTTATGTTCTCATCGCCCTGTTGCCTCAGTTCAACCTAAGAGGCTCCAGGTTTGTTTTCAAAAGTATTGTGAAGATTAAGGGAGAAAAGCCTGGCAAGTGGGTAGAAAGGTGCTGGGCACACCACAGGGGCCACCCAAGTGCAGCCACCACTCACCTCTTTCTATACTTCTCTTGGGGCTCGAAGACCACATTGGGAGTTGGCTCCCAGACTGGGGGCTCTAAGCACTGCTAAAGGTCCTGCAGTCAGACGGTACCTCTGGGGGCTGTGATGGTGTTTGGACAGTGAAGGCAGAGTGGGTGGATGGTCCTCAGTCTCATTAAACAGCACTATTAAAAAGGTTAACTGAATAGGTGCTTGGTCACCTCTAAGTCAGAATCCCAGTCCTGGTTTAAGGACTTTACTGTCCCCAAGTGCCACACAACCTGAGTCTAGGAGACCTTCCCAGCTTCAGCATCGAGTCAGCATCCTGGGAACCCTCAGTCCTGCATGAGTTACTTCATGCAGATGACTCCTCCCTACCCTATACCCTAGTCTGCCACCTTCTTCCTCTAAGCTCTGGCATCATCTCAGCTTGTGTGTCCATTTATCAGCTTATCAGAGTCAGGATCCTTCCAGAGTCAGCTCCAGGAGGGCAGGGACGCCCCCCCCCCCCCCCCCCCCAGAGTAGATGATCAAAGCTTCCTGAATGAAAGTGACCTAGTGAATAATGAATGACTTAGTCCTGGGCGGGAGATCACCAGAGTGACTGCTACCCCAGGGGCTCGGTGTGGGCTGGGCTTTCACAGGATGAGGCCGCCAGCAGCTTATTCCTTTTATAAGGGACTATCTTCAGGGAGAGTCAAGTCCCTGAGACACTCCCCCACCCCACCCCACCTTCCCTGACTCCTGCTCAGGGTTGGGGGTAGTACTTTGGGGTATTTTACTCTGAGCCCCCACCACTGGGTCCCAAGATCAGGAGAGGCTGCAGACTCCAGTCTGCCTACAGGGGAGTGGGCAGGAGCCGCCTCTGCTGGACAGTGAGGCAAAGCCACAGCCTGGCCCTGACCTCCAGACACTCAGGGGCACTAATCTGCCAGGCAACCCACTACCTCAATGTGCTCCTTATAGCGGCCCAGGAATAATGTTACCAGAGGGTATTATAAGAGGTTAAAGAATATAGAGGAGCCCTGACCTGTTTGGCTCAGTGGATAGAGCATTGGCCTGCGGACTCAAGGGTCCCATGTTCAATTCCGGTCAAAGGCATGTGCCTTAGTTGCGGGCACATCCCCAGTAGGGAGTGTGCAGGAGGCAGCTGATCGGTGTTTCTCTCTCATCAATGTTTCTGACTCTATTCCTCTCCCTTCGTCTCTGTAAAAAGTCAATGAAATATATTTATATTTAAAAAAAGAAGAAGAAGAAGAATGCAGAGGGAAAGGTGAAAAGCATGGAGAATTCCAGCAGAGAAACAGAAAAACAAAAACCAACAGTGGGATTTGGGATAGGCTGCAGGGCAGTATGAAACTGTAGAAAAGAGGACCAGGGACCTCACAGACGGGTCCATAGCAACTATGCAAATAGTAACACAGAAAGAATAAAACACACAGAAATCTGTGGGACAATACCCAGTGCTCTCCTGGGTAACTAGAGGCCCAGATGGAGAAGAGCGAACACAGCAGCAGACACATCTGAAGAAATAGCCAAGATGCCCAACACCAATGCAAGGCAGCCCTCAGGCCCAACAAGCTCTATGTGGAAATCTACCCCTGGCATCACACTCACATGCTGGAGTCCAGACAAAAGGAAACCACAAAGCAAAAAGATGGGTCTCACGTAGGAAAACACAGAATGGCCTCTTTCTCATTAGAAACCAAGAGTCAAGGGACCGTCTAAAATGCTGATCCTGCCAAAAAAGAAAAGTAAGTTTCAAAAATGAAGGAGGAATCCTCAAGGATCCTTCTGGCCAGTGAGAGGCAGTGAAGAGCATTGGCGGGAAGAAATGAGAGCCCATCTCTAACAGCTACAGAACCACCACACCATCGGGACAGCCAAAATGCAAACTGCGGACAGCACACACACCACCAGGCCCGGAGCTGGCTGAGGAACTCCCCTTTATCACCCATGCAAATGCAAATGGTGCAGCCCTTCTGGAAGACGGTTCAGTGGTTTCTGACTAAACCAAACACTCTCACTGTAAGATTCAGCTCCCCGGTATTTACCCAAATGAGCTGAAAACTTGTGTCCTAACAAATATCTGCACAAGTGTTCACAGTAGCTTCATCCGTAAGTGCCCAAACCTGAAAGCAACTGAGACTTCCTTCAGCAGGTGAGTGGATGATAAACTGGTTCCTCTGACAGGGAAATGCTCCTCAGCAATAAAAAGAATGAGCCATGGAGCCTCGAGGAGACACGGAGGATCCTTAGGTGCACATCGCCAAGTGAAAGAAACCAGACTGTTCGATACCAGGGAGAAAAACACCTAAAACTAACACAAAGTAATAGTAGGTGTGAAGTGTAACTGAAAAATAAATAAAATAGGGAGAAAGATACAAACCTTAGCTGTCAAAGTAAATACACACACAAAGGTAAGGAAGGACAAGGGCAATTTTCTCGAAAGCAGAGCAAACCAGAATATCGTAGAGCAATACCTCTAAACCACTTCAAGAAAATGAAAACTCCAGTGAAAATCACTCTCAAGTCCCTGGCACCCCATCCCGCAAGTACACCCGCTCCCAGAGCTGGCATAACCAGCTCTGAAGGACTAAGGCCCAAATCCCAGGAGACACCACTTTCCCACACCCCTGGGCACAACCAGCCCCTGACCCATCTGCCCTTGGTCTTCATACCCTGGGTCCAGGCTGACCCTCCTAGCTTGTCCCCTGTCCTTGCCCAGCCTGTTTGCACCTCCTCTGAAGAAGCTCTGAAACCCCATCTTGACTCAGCCCCTGCTTACCCTTCCGGGGGATTCAGGACAGAACCTGCTAGCTGGGCCCCCCCCCCCCCCCCCCCGACCCTCAGCTGCTCGGCCTCCTTCCTGGCCTCCACCTCTTTCCTGGGACTCCGGCCCCTGCCTACCTCTGTGTTGGTGGTGACCTCAACCTGGCTCACACCAGCCTTCACCAAAACAGGATGATTCTCCTTCAGGTTCCAGATTAAATGTCCCCTCCATTTAACTGACCATCTCCCTCACGTGGGTCACCATGATGTGGACCCTGGCCCCATGTCCTCTCAGTCATGACACAGCCCCATCCTTGAACGATGCCTGGTACAGAGCCCGGTACCAAGTGACTCAGTGACCAGGATGACCTGTGGTTCCCCGGCACCTCCTCACACCCTGCCCAGTCCACCACGAGGCACCCACGGGGCTTCAAATAAAGTTTAATAAATAAAACAGCAAGAGATTCAAGGCAGTTTTCACTTCACAGTGTGGTCCTTGGTGGGGTGACAGGGAAGGTTGAGTCCAACTCTGCAGATGGGCTCGAGCCAAAACTCTCCTGGTGACACCCAAGGGCTGGGGAACGCTGTCCTGCCCCCCTGGAGGACCCCACTCCAATTTGTAAACAGAAACATAAATTAAAAAAGGGAGGTGGGGGAAGAGATGGACCAGGACCCCAAACCATCTTGCTGGGGAGCTTCAACAGAAATACGACCCGCAGGGTCAGGAAAACAAGCTGGACCTGGCCCCTCGGCATTGCAGGTGACAGGGGGTGTCGGTCACCTGTCTCTTGAAGCCCAGGAGGCTGCTGAGAGGCCCTGGGCGGACAGAGAGGAGGCAGGTGGGCATAAAGTGCGGCTTTTCCTGAAGTGGACAGAGTGGGTGAGGTCAAAGGTGGGGCGGGGCCAACGTCGAGGTATATGGCTCTGTGCCCCATGGGGTTTGGCACCGAGTAGCAGCTGCCCACCGACCCCTGGACTGGGGCAGCCCATGGCCCTGCCAACTGCGGCGAGACAGAGCCAAGCAGGTGCTGGGGGCTCCCTGGGCAGAGGCTGCTGGTGGGGGTGCGGCGTCCTGCCCTGTCTCCCCATCCCCCTGCCGGGCAGGGATGCCTTTCTGTGCCTCTGCTGGCTGGAGGGGACCGGTCCCTCTGCACCCAGTGCCCAATGGGTCCCACGGAGACAGCCTGCAGCCAGGCAGCGGTGCCGGGCGCTGAGGGTGCCGGGCTGTGTGTGGGGAGGGGCAGGGCTGATAGCCCTGCCACTGCTCACCCTAGTCCTTGAAGTGTTCTGAAGCAGAGAAGGCGTTACCCGAGGCCCACGAGGAAAAGGGTCGGGAAGACTGACAGAAGCAGGCCCCACAGTGGCCCCAAGTCCAGTCTAGGCCACACACACCCGCCTGTGGCCAGGAATCAACAGGTCATCACGTTACAGCTGCAGTGAGGGGAGAGACCGAGAGAGAGACCAAGAAAGGGTCAGTCCAGTCCCACAGAACGCACGGCTTGAGCGCTGTGGGCCAAGCACAGGGCTCCCAACCTCGACTCCCCAGCAGACCGTGTTTTCACATGTGCCTGGGGAGAGCTGGTGGTTGGGCAGGGCTGGGAGGAGACTAGCACTGGCCCCATTTGTACCTTTTGGGTTTTGAACCATATGAATGTATTACCTAATCAAAAAAATAAATTAAGCCAAATTAAAAGTAGAGAATAAAACTAAAGAAACAAAAACCTGCTCCGTGGGCCACACCACCCTTGGGCCCTCAGGGCAGACCCCTCCCACTCTCCTCAGGGTAGCCTGAGGCTGGGGCCCCTAGGGTGGGGGCTGCACTCACTGTGACAGGGGCTCCGAGTGCAGCCCAGGGCCCGGGCACGCTGGGTGAGTAGCCAGGAAAGGATTCACGTCCCCAATGCCAATGAGTCCAAACTCAGTGACCGACAAGGCCACCTGTGCAGGGGCCACAGCTTCCTCGGACTCTCCATCCATATCCACATGGCTGGAGACCTGGGGCAGCTCCTCAGGAAGGGCCCCTGGCAGGGCCAAGTCCACAGCCAGTCTCGAGCTGGTGCTGGGCTCTGGAGCAGCTGCAGCGGAGGGGCAGAAGGCCGGCTCGGCCAGGGCTGGGGGCTGCTGGGGTGCGGGCACAGTTGGTGGGGTGTCCAGTTGCTGGAACAGACAGGGCTCTGACTCCAAAGAAGGGAGGTTGTTGGAGCCTTCCTCAGGTTCACCAACACTGCCAGTCATGCCGTCCATGCTCAGCGGCTCTAGAGGGGGAGAACACAGCTGAGGCCAGGCCCCAGCAGCAGCCACGCCCAGCCCTCCCAGGATCCACAACCATCCTGGCTAAGGAGCAGTGCCTTAAAAATCATACTTTTTGCCTTCAGGATGCAATCTATGCAGGCTCCAGCCAAATCTCTGTCAGGGAAAGCAAAGCCTATGGCGCCTCATCACTGATGTTTTCACACAAATACATAAAATACACATGAACACAAAAGAAACTAGTTATACTAAACTGTGCACCCAGGCTAAGGTCCTGCTTTGGAAGGTTGTGACTCCTGTTTTTCAAACAGAACAGAACACAACAGATTCAAAACAACAAAATGCTTGAATGCACTTGCCCAGTCACGGTAAATGTGACTGTGGAGTTCTGTACACAGGTGAAGTGACAATGGTTCCCAGACACCTGCTCCTTAGTGTTCACTGGCACAGGTGTTTCCCCAAAGGCAGGGGCCCTCCCCCCATTGTTACCTATAGGCATCCGTGCCAGAGGGTCCTGCTCAGGGTTTAGGCCATCAGCGGCAGGGGGCAGGGGCGGTGAGGAGCGGGGACGGGCGAGGCCATCGGGGTCACTGCCATCTAGGTCCTGGTCTGCATCCCTGTGGAAAGATGGCACGTGGGGGGCTGCAGTCACTGCCTCTGGCGGGAGGCGCTCCCGAGGACTCCCAGTCCCGACCCAGGCCCTGCTGGGAGCCCGCCACACATACGTGGTTCCTGAGGGGCCGTACTTCCTCCGGCCCAGCCGCGTCTGCTGGGAGAAGTAGTCATAGCGCTCAGACTTCTTCCACAGGTAGTAGTATTCCACACACTCGCCCACAGACCTTGTACGCACCTGAGGGACAGTGTGGTGTCATCTGGGCCCCACACGCCCAGCTCCCTCCGCTTCCCAGGGCAGCAGGAACAGGTTACAGCAGCCAGCGCTCTCAGAGACCCTGCCTACGCCTCCAGTTTCTTCCGCAGCCACCTCCAGCCCCATCGAGGCTCACAGGCCACCCTCATGTCCGGGCTCATCCTTTTGCCCTGAACATGGCACCTCAATCTCAGAGAGCTCCCCTACCTGCCGACATGGGACCCCATTCTTCTTCATTCTGGATCCATGTGTCCAGTGTCCACTTCCCTTTCCCAGACCTCACCAAGCTCCCAAGGACTAAAGTGTCCACCTCATTCCCTGCTCATCGCAGGCCCAGCAGAGGGGGAATAACGAGCCCTTGTGCAGACACCAGGGACAGAGACCCCATCCAGGGAGGACAACATGCAACCTGGCCGAGCCTGCTTTTCCCACAGAACACCACTAACACCCCAAGGGAGAGCCGTCTGTGGGCACATGAAATGCCATTAAAGGACACATTGGGGCTTCATGAACCCCGGACTCAGGTCACATACATAGCACCCTAGAAAGACAAGGGACAGTGCTGCATGGAGCTGGATGCCACCTGGCAAAACCTCTTGGGGGCATCTTCACTTTGGATGAGCCCCACAGAAGGCCAGGGCTGTTACAGGTCCATGTGAGAAACCTGCTGGTCCCCAGGATGAGGGACAGACGACAGGCCCAGGGGAGCCTGGGAACCAGGGGCAGGCAGATACACAGGAGCTGTCGCCTCTTCCCAGTGCATCAGGGGTCTGACTGATAGACAGCGTCACAGCCTCCAAGGGCCAGGTGCAAACTTAACACGTGTGTGGTAGCCACGGGCAGACATGTGGAAGGTAATGCATGTGAAGTTTCGCTCACAGAAGCCTCGGCTGCAGTGGGAATGCAGGGAACAGCGCACTGCATCAGGCCACCAGCAGCTGATCTGCCTAGAGCCGTCGGCAGCGGCAAACTGCGGCTCGCGAGCCACATGCGGGTCTTTGGCCCCTTGAGTGTGGCTCTTCCACAAAATACCACGGCCTGAGCGAGTCTATTTTGAAGAAGTGGCGTTAGAAGTTTAAGTTTAAAAAATTGGGCCCTCAAAAGAAATTTCAATCGTTGTACTGTTGATATTTGGCTCTGCTGACTAATGATTTGCCGACCACTGGCCTAGAGGATCTAGTGCCACCTGAAATGACACTGGGCAGGTCAGCTGAGCATCCTCCTGTCCCTATAGTGGCCCAGCACAGATGTCTCACTTACTCCAACCTCCCAAGAGAGACAGAGGCCCCAAATGTGAGCTAGGTTTCAGCCAGGCCCTGCTTCTCCACAAGCTGTGTCACCATGAATAGCAGGAAGGGGCCGGGGCTGCTTCCCTAGAAGGGCAAAAAACCACTAGGAGACGGGGTGAGGAGAGAGAGCCATGTCGAGACAAAGGGAACTTCAGACTCTGAGACTGAGTCATAGAGCATATCCTGCCAGAGATCCAGGGAGAGGGACCTAAGTCTAGGAAGGACATGGGGACTCAGGTCTAGGAGAAGAAAAGGAGACTCGGGCCTAAGAAAAGCAGGTGGACTCAGGTCCAGGGGAGGGCAGGGCAGGGCAGCCCATTGGTCATGAGCAGGTGGCAGGAGAGACCTATTCCCGTGGTTTGGTTGAACTAAGAGACCCCCGTTCCCCGTGGCTAGAGGCTGAGAGTGGGGTCAAGGCTGGGAGTCCGCACTGCAGCATAGGCTCTGAGCACAGGTGGTGGAGCTCTCTGCGACTGAGATGCCATCATGTTCTTTTCCATTCTGGAGCCTTCTTTGGGGGGAAGGAAGTGGTCTGACCGAGGAGACTAGAATAATATGATAGCAGGCACGTATGCGTGAGAGACGGAAACCACGGCTTTAGCCCTCAGCTCAGAGGAGCCTCAAGAGCCTGGTAAGGGGAGTCACACTCTCGTACTGTGGGGTATAGGGAGCCATGAGCCCAGGCTCCTAGGTTTTCTCCAGCCCCAAGGAGGCTATGGTGCAGCCCAATGGGAGCAGGACGGGCTGTGTCCTCACCTTGTTGGCCTGGATTAGGTGGAAGTTTTTCCCGTGCACTCGGAAGCCATGCTCAAAGTTCCTACACTCCTCCTCACTCCAAGCACAGAGCCCATCTACAACCAGGAGGAGGCATGGTGTCAGCAGTGCCCAGACCAGGAGAGCTGGTCAGGGTGGGGTGGGCAGGCGGGGCGCTCACCTCGAATCACCTTCACATTAAACCGCAGTCTCCGCAGGGCCTCCTCCACATTGAAACTGCACTTCACCAGCTCATACAGCGCCTGCGGGAGTGAAAGCCTCTGCCCACCTGCTCACCAGCAGCAACAGCAGGAGCGCTGACCACCATTGGGGCAGGCGTGTGGGGCATTCACACTACCTTTAGAGTGAGGATATTGGGGGTGTTCACCCTACCATCAGAGAGGGGAAATAAGGGCAGTCCTACCACCGCCAGGGAAGGCATATAGGGGTGCACACAACATCTGGACAGGGATATTGGGGGCATTAAATTCATCATCCAGGAGGTGTTATGGGGGTGTTCACCCCACCATCAGCTCTGGATATGGGGAGTGTTTACAACACCATCAGGGAAGTGAAATGGGGGCGTTCAAATGACAATCAAGATGAATATACTGGGGGTACTTACCCCATCAGGACAGGGATGTCTGAGGCATATACACACACACACACACACACACACACACACACACTATCATCAGGGCAGGGATGTCCAGGGTGTTCACACCATTAGTGTAGGGATAATGAGGGCATTCACACCACTATTGGGGAGGGGCTATAAGAACACATTTACCTCACTACCAAGGTGAAAGCATGCGGGGGGCATTTACACCACCATTGGGGTAAGGACATGGGGGTGTTACACCACCCAGCATACTGCCTACCTGCTCACTGTCTTTCACCATTTCTCCCTCTGGGAGCTGAGACCCGGTGGTCTCGTGCCATCTCCGCTTGATTGCCCGGTACAGGAACTCCTCCACCTCCCTCTCAGGGAGGATGTTGGGGTCCCACAACAGCTGGTCTTCATTCTCATAAACTGTTCAGAGGGAGTGCCAGGGTCAGCGTGGGCACAAAGTCAATGCCCACACGCGGAAAGGGCACACTCCCTCTCCACAGGCATCCACAGTACCTCCAAAGGACAGTGCTAATTTGGATGTCTGGTTCCTGTGACCTGGGCCCATCCCTCACACACCCCTCTAGGCCAGAGGTGGTCAGGGTAACAACAAAAGGTGGAAGCGGTGGGAGGCCCACTGGATGCTTCCCAGCTGGGAAATTAAGGCAGCCTCCTGGAGAAGGCGGCAAGTAGTCTGGGTTGAGGGAAGGGGGACTTCTGAGCATGGCCTTAGGGGAGGGAGTTGTAGGTAATGGGCTCACAGATGGTAAAGCCATTCACACAGTTTGCAAGTCTTGACCAGAGTCCCAAGGAAGCTGAGTGAAGAGCCTGGACTCAATGGCAGTGAGAACCTGGGTCCCGGTGGTCTTACTTAGGCAACAACCACTCTAACCACTGCATCCCGCAAGCCACATATGAGTGTACTTTGCCCAGGGAAGGGATGTCCTGCCCCATGCAGGCAGTGGGCGGCAACCTCTAGCTGGGGAGGGACCCAATGGGAAAGAGACAGAAGGGAGATCTCAGGGCTCAGCCTGGAAAGACCCCAGTGCCAGCACCTCTTAACGAGGGAAGAATCACAGGGACCACAAGCCAAACAGCCCAGTACAGTGGCCAGAAAGTGAAAAACACACTGAGAAAAATGGCTCCTGTGTTAGAATGTCTCTGGTTGGGGAACTGACTGGGAACCAACAACTCCTGAGAACCACAGAAGCAGCAACCTCTCCCAATGCAAGAGCCCCTCCACACTGATGCAATCCCAGCCACTCTCTGGAAAAAAAAAAAAAGAAAAAGAAAAAAAAAAAGCATCATCCTGCCCAGCAGGTGAATGAGAGAGAAAAATCTGTGGGACAGCCGAAACCGGTTTGGCTCAATGGATAGAGCGTCGGCTTGGGGACTGAAAGGTTCCGGGTTCGATTCCGGTCAAGGGCATGTACCTTGGTTGCGGGCATATCCCCAGTAGGGGGTGTGCAAGAGGCAGCTGATCGATGACTCTCTCTCATCGATGTTTCTAACTCTCTATCTCTCTCCCTTCCTCTCTGTACAAAATCAATAAAATATATTTTTTTTAAAAATCTGTGGAACAGAAGTTAATCCACAAATGGCTGGAAATCAGAGTTAGCAGACAGGACTTTAAAGAATTTAAGGACTAGAAAATACAATCTGTGAGTTTATGGACCCACTGAACAGCTCTAATAGCAGCTTGGATATAGCAGAAGGCATGATCAATTAAATCGAAAAGAACTTAATAAAAATTAAAGAAAAAGAATTAAACTGAATTTAAAGAGAACATAGTTAGGGGATGAAGAAGACAGTCATATGTATAATTGAGTCACGGAAGAAATGGACAACATATGGAACAAAAGAAAATCTGAAGAGACAATGGCCAAGAATTCTCCAAAACTGGTGCATGACACCAAATGCCAGATCACAAGAAGTCGGGACAAAGCCAAAGAAAACCACATCTGGGCTCATCTGGTAAAAATGTTAGAAGACCAAAGAAAAATGTAATCAACCTACAGGGAAATAATGAACAAGATTTCCAACACAAACAGTAAGACAGACATCTGACTTCTGCACAGAAACAACAGATACCAAAGACAATGGAACAAAATGATTCACATGTGAGAAGGAAAAGCTGGTAAATCTAGAAAACTAGACCCATGACAATTCTCTTCAAAAGTGAAATGAGCCATAACCAGTGTGGCTTAGTGGGGTGGAGTATCAGCCTGCGAGTCCCAGATTTGATTCCTGTCAAGGGCATGTACCTTGGCTGTGGGCACATCCCCAGTGGAGGGGGTGGGGGTTGCAGGAGGCACCTGATCAATGTTTCTCTCATCAATGTTTCTAACTCTCTATCCCTCTCCCTTCCTCTCTGTAAAAAAATCAATAAAAAATATTTTTAGCCGAAGCTGGTTTGGCTCAGGGGTAGAGCGTCAGTCTGTGAACTGAAAGATCCCGGGTTCGATTCCGGTCAAGGGCATGTACCTTGGTTGCGGGCACATCCCCGGTAGAGGGTGCGCAAGAGGCAGCTGGTCGATGTTTCTCTCTCATCGACGTTTCTAGCTCTCTATATCTCTCCCTTCCTCTCTGTAAAAAATCAATAAAATAAAATACAACTGAAATGAGCCCACCAATGTGGTTCAGTGGTTGAGCATTAACCCATGAACCAAGAGGTCACTGGTTCGATTCACGGTCAGAGCACAGGCCCAACTTGCGGGCTCTATCCCCAGGAGGCAACGTGCAGGAAGCAGCCAATTGATGTTTCTCTCTCATCGATGTTTCTATCACTATATCCCTCTCCCTTCCTTTCTCTTTAAAATCAATAAAAGCATATTTAAAATTTTAAAAAAAGAAATCAAAATTAAGACTTTCCAGAAAAGCAAAAGCTGAAAGAATTCATCAACGTCACTATAAATATTAAAGAGCAAGTTCTTTAGGTAGAAGGAAATGATCGCAAATGGAAGCTGGAGGGAGTGAACAGTACTATCCAGGCAGTTGTAAAAAAGCGTAAGGAAAATCTGGCATGAAAACCACAACACTGTCACTGTGGCACATGCAGTTCCTGCAGAAGCAGCAGCAGCACAATGGGCAGGACAGATGAGGTGAGTAGAATGCACTTATCTAAAGCAGCAATTTTCAACCTTTTTCATCTGATGGCACACAAACTAATTGCTAAAATTCTGCAGCACACCAAAAGATGTATGTTTTGTCAATCTGACTAAAATAAAGTATACTGTATAATTTTGATTTATTCACACCAGACATCTATTATTTGTGTTAGCTGTTGCCATTTTTTTATTTGACAATAGATTCTAAGGGAAATGAGGTCAGTGCCCCCAACTAAGTAGTCAAGTATTGATGTTTTAAAAATTCTTGTGGCATGTGGTAGGATAATCACTAAAAAGGCAATATAAAAATTAAAACATCATCTCAAAGAGGAAGAAAAAATAGAATAAAACTACTTGACTAATCAAAAAGAAGACAAGAAAAAATAAAGGGGAGGGGGAAACAGATGGAATAAGGAAAAAGCACATAGAAGATGGTAACTTATCCCAACTATTTTCACAATTGCATGAAAAATAGTCCAAAATGTAACTGGCTACATATTCCGTATTAAAAGGCAAAAGAGAATAAGACTGGATTAAAAAAAAAATTAGATAAAAAAATATGCAATACACAGAAAATACACTTCAAATATAAAAACACAGAAAGCAGCATTTACAAAATAGACTAAATACTGGCCATAAACAAGGCTCAACTCATTTCAAAGGACTGATATCAGAGTATGTTCACTGGACTTCAACTAGAAGTCAGTAACAGGAGGATAACTAGGAATTCCCCGATGTTTGGAAATTAAACAGAATGCTTCTAAAACACCCCTGAGTGGGAGAAGTTATCACAATGTGAACTACAGAATAACAAACTAAAATGAAATAAACTATGAAGAAAGAATACAGATAAAAATAAAAATGAATTAGGTAGCCATCAGACAACAGAGAAAAATCTCGATAAAGAGCAATAAAAGTAACAAACTCCTAATAAGACTGATCAAAAGAGACTGAAAAGGAGAAAATGCAAAATACAAATATCAGGACTGAAAACGAGGACATCACTATAGATTCTACAGACATTAAGAAGATAGGATATTATGATATTTTTTACGATAAAGTTAGCAACTTATTAGTGGAATAAATGCCTAAAAAATGCAACATATCAAAAACAAACAGAAACTCTAGATAGAGCTATATTATTAAATATACTGAATTTGTAACTAAAAACCTTCTTCCACAAACATGAAACTAAAGTAAAACCCAGGCCCAGACAGCTTCAGTGAGGAAGAAGAAATATTAACAATCTCACACAAGTTCTCCTTGATGTTAGTAAAAGGCACTTCCCAGCATACCTGACCCCAAAGCCTACCAAGGACAAACACAAAATAAAATGACAGGCAGTGTCACGTCAACAGACAAGCGAATTTACAAACTTACAAAAACATGCAACAATACAGGGAACATGACACACAAGATGCACATGCCACACACATGGTTCTAATCCTTTGCCCAAACTGCCTACAACGAAGCAAGCACATCCCATCACACCCATGTCCCAGCCTCTGCCCTGGGAGGCCATACCCTTTACTAAGGGTCTCTGTCTCCCTTGTCTGTCCCACCTCACCCCCTATCCCCAACCCCTCCTCCAATCCTGGCTGCTGAATCATCGGGGAAAAGCCTCCTGAGAGAAGAATGCCAGCCCCCGAGCCTGGGGCAAGAAAAACAAGACTCAAATGACTTCACATCCTGTTTTCTCCACCTGTAAATGGCAACAATTCCTGCCTTAAAGAACAAAAGCCTCTACAGACAGACATACAGATATCAAGTCCAGGTTAGGGAGTACCCTGAAAGACAAAGCAGGACAGGGGGACACTGGTTTCTGGAGGATACTGAGACAGGACACAGACAAGGTGAGAGAGGCCTGTGGGGTAAGAGTGGGGAAGAGCATGGGTGCCCAGAGGAAACGTGCAAAGCCCTGGGCGAGAGGCAAGTCTCCCTTACTTCCTCCTGCCCACTGAGCACTCCGCAAAGCTGCTGCCCACAGCTGGCACAGGGCAGGCACCTGAGCCAGCCGGAGCCCCTCAGAAGATTGGGGAACTAGGTCTGACTGGATGTGCAGCAAGTTCCTTCTGGCCTGGAGTGGGGTTTTCATCTTCTTTCCCTGTCCCCACCAGGATCCAGGCCCCACTTACTCTTCTCACCATGTCGGTTCAAGTGCAGGTTGCTGAGGTCGGCTTGGAACTGAGGCCCAACCATGATCTCCTGCAAAGGCAAAGGCCCAGGAAAGTCAGGGGGGGTGGGAGGCCCAGCCACTTTTCAGAGCCCAGGGCTGTGTTGGTCTGTGCAATCTTTCCACAGATGCCAAGTCCTATGGTCTGAGAATGGGAGGCAGAGACCTGGGTGTGTGTGTGGGGGGTGAGGGACCGTTTGTCTCCATTTCCTTATCCATCTGTTCAGTATAGCCGGTCATGTGTCAAGGGGATGAGGCCTGAGGCCCCAGGTGTCCTGATGCCCAGCTCAGAGCACTCAGGACAGGTCCTTGGGGCCACATCCCTGGGCCAGCCAATGCCACAGCAGCACAGGCTCAAGGTCCCAACAGCTTCTCAGAGGGTGTGCATGTCTCCACCACAGGACCAAGCAGAGACCCACATGGAAGGTGCTGCAGGGTCAGGGCCACATACCTTCTTACATTTGTTGGCAGGAAGAGGGTCCTCCTCAGTGTCAGATGAGGTGGAAGAGCTTAGCTCTTTCTCTGTGCCAGTCAGGAAGTGGGCTTTGGGAAAGGGGATGCAGGTGAGACACGGCTGTGGCACTGGGTAGCTCCCCAGCTAGTGGGTCCCCAGGTCTTCACTGCTGCAGCCTCCACCCCACTCTCCATCCACTTGTCCCCCACACCATGCCACTCCTGAGAAGAGGCATGTCCCAAGACCTGGCCAGATGACAGGTGCGCAACGGGCAAAGGCATGGGGATTTGCTAACTGCCAGCTGTGAGCCCCCAACACCTCATGCGGCTGGGACACTGCCCCCGCATCTGACCCGCCTTTTGATTCCAAAAGCTATAGGAATCAACATGTCCCCTCCTCCTGTAAACTATAGCCAATCAGTCTCAGCTCACTGGTCAGGGAGACGAAAACCACAGAGAGACTCAGACAGAGAACAGGGCACCGCGGAGGCACCCTCATTCTGAGCCTGAGTTATCTGCCCCAAGTAGCCCAGGGCCCCCATCTGCATCACTGGAGCCTGCTCGACCCAGCCCAAGTGGAGGGGCAGGCAGGACACCTACGTCCACTCTGGCTAGGGAAAAGGTCAGAAGCCTCGTGGGAGGTAACAGATGGGGTGAGATCATCGGCCGAGGACTGTGTCTCTTCCTCTTCTTCCCCTGAAAGCAAATCCTTCGCTATTTGTTCCTTTTAACAAAAAGTAAAGAACATTTTTTGCAGTTTGTCTGAACAATCTTCAGATAACACTAATAAACAACAGTGACACTAACTTGATGGCCCTCCCCCTGGGAACAGCAAGGGCTCACGTGGGGCTGTTCTTCCCACTCTGCAGAGGAGACTCGGGGCCAGGGCAGGGCAGCCCAGGGGCCAGCATGGATGCTTGTGGTCCCTGAGCCCAAACCATGCAGTCTAGAAAGGGATGTCACCTGTGCCTGGCCTGGGACAGTTAGAGCCGCCAGCCACTGCTCCCTCCTCGTGCATCCCCTCCTGGCAGGCTTTATTACCAAAGTTGAAACAAGACTGGAGTCAGGACCTCACTCATTCTCTTCCTTCCCAGCTGCGTTTCTCCAGCCCAGTCTCCACTCTGCCCCTCTTTTGGCCAATGGTCAGAGTCTTTTCATCTCAGTTCCCTCTCTGTGGCCACTCTAACCCTGAATGCATCAGCTAGGACTCTGGGAAGCAAGAGAGTCCCCTCTAAGAAGTAATCTAGGCCTCGCACTTCTGCTTTTCTGAGGCCTTCATGCCTGCCCTCCCTAAATCTTCCCACGTGTTCCAGGGAGAGCCCCACTCACCTTGTCCAGAGTCATGTCTGGGAGGGTGGCTGTGGCATCGCTGCCCTCACTCTCCCGCTCCGAGATGGGGTCTGTTGTCTCATAGCCATAGAGGGCAAGCAGCTCGTCCAGGGGCATGTCACTGCTCTGAGGGGGAAGAGGGCTCTGTCAGGAGGGGCTGTTCTGGGCGTCCTGCTTCCCCTCCTCCTGTCTGAGCCCCATCAGCCACAACCAGGGCCAATTTGTCACATTCTGGAAACTTACCCCAGCCAGACCCCAGGTCCAGTCCTTTACCCAAGGACTCCCTTACAACCTCCAGGAGAGCACAGAGAAGACACCAGAGCCCAGAGAGGTCAGGCATGTGCTCCAGGTCACCAGCCTTAAAGCGTGGAGCCAGGACTGGCCTCAGTCCACACTGCACTGCCCAGAAACACTTCCCTGCTCAAAACGGTTCAGACTTGATTCCAGAAAGGCAAGGATGGCATGGTATCTGGGAATCTATCAGAACTCATGACATCAATAAATCAGGAGGGCAAAGACATTTAAATGTCTGGACAAATGTGGAAAATGCATCTGGCAAAATCCAACACCCACCTGATTTTATATAGCACTCAGTACAGTAAGTAAAGAGATAGATGCCCAATCAGTGTGACAGAGATGCTGTCAGCCCTCACTGGGCAACAATGCACAGCCAGAACAACCCCAGCAGTCAGAAGAGGAAGGCAGGATTGGGAGCACCAGAGCTACTCTCACTTTTTTTTTTTTTAATCCTCAGCTAAAAATATACTTTTCATTACTTTTTCAGAGAGTGGAAGAGAGGGAAGGAAAGCGAGGGAGGTGGGGAGAGGCATTGATATGAGAGAGATACATCGACTGGTTGCCTCCACACATGCCCCAACCTGGGCCAGGGATCAAAACTGCAACCCAGGTACTTGACCAGGAAATGAACCTGCAACCCTTTGATCAATGGGCTGGTGTTCTAACCACTGAGATCACTATACTCACACAGTTTTGATACTTTGAGCCCATCTGATAGAATAAGAAAGGGAAATAAGACATTTATTTATTTACTAGAGGCTCAGTGCATGAAAATTCATGCACTGGATGGGGTAGTCCCTCAGCCCGGCCTGCCCCCTCTCACAGTCTGGGAGCCCTCCAGGGCAGGAGACCACCTGGTGATCAGGGAAAGGCGACACCCCCATCACAACTCTGCTGCTGCTATTGCCAGCAGCGCAAGCCTCAGCCAGCCCTGGTTACCTGAGCCTTGGGCGGCCCGGGCAGTGGGGCAGCTGCCATCCGAGGCTTGCCTGCGCTTTGGGCCAGCCCTGGGCGGCTGGGAGGCTGAGAGGACTAGGGGACTCTGGAGGCAGGTGCATGGAGCGGCTGGGCCTTGCCACACGCCTCCTGCCCCTGGCGAGGGAGACCGGGCACCACCATCTTGTGGTTGTGGGCACCTCCATCTTTAAGGGTGGGGTAGTCAATTAGCATATTCCCTCCTTATTGGCTGTGGGCATCGCCTCCTTGAGAGCAGGACAATTAGCATATTCCCTCCCTATTGGTTATGGGTACTGCCATCTTTGAGGATGGGGCAGTCAATTAGCATATTCCCTCTTTATTAGCTAGGATTTTTGTTTTCTTAATCCTCACCCAAAGATATTTTCTCATTGTTTTTAGAGAGTGGAAGAGAGAAGTAAAGACAGAAACATTGATATGAGAGAAACACATCAACTGGTTGCCTCCTGAACAAGCCCTGACCAGGGCCTGGGCAGGGGGGGAGCCTGCAGCCGAAGTATGTGCCCTTGACCGGAAACAAACCCGGGAGCCTTCGGTCCTCAGGCCGATGCTCTATCCACTGAGCCAAACCAGCTAGGGCTGGATATAAGACATTTAATTATTAGAGAGAAACAAAGAAAAACTATTACTACCTTCCTCTCCAGTATTGCTTTCAAATTGGTTTCTCACTCTCCTGTAAACCTCTACTCCTTCTGACCACACTCTGTCCTGACCCCAGGGGTCACTGTCAGCCTCCAACCTCCTGAGCATTCCTTCTCATTCTTTCTGGAGTCAACTTCTGCCCTGCCCTTGTGCTGGGACTTCCATTGCTGTGGAAGACCACCCAGCTTCCGCCCAGCCCTTCCTCTAAACCAAGTGCTTATATGACGAAGGGTCATTTTGCCCATCACAGTTTCTAATTATGCACTGGTTGCAGGGGTTCACACAGTGGCCCAAAGATTCCCTGGGACCTTCACAACACTATGATGACATTAATCCATCATTTGTGCTGATGCAGCAATCAATGGTTTCTGGACAGTGTCCTGCAGTGAAGGCAGGAGCACAAAGTGTGTGAGTTGCCAATGCATGTTCCTTACTGCCACTCACTCAGTTTTAAAAAGATGCTAGTTTCAATTACGAATATTCTGTGATTCAGCGGTTAGATCGTTGGTCAGAGCACCAAAGGGTCACAGGTTTGATTCCTGGTCAAGGGCAGGTGCCTGGGTTGCAGGTTCAATCCCCGGTCCTGGTTGGGTCACATGCAGGAAGCAATCAATTGATGTCTCTCTCACATGTTTCTCTCTCTCTCTCTCTCTCTCTCTCTCTCTCTCTCTCTCTCTCTCTCTCTCTCTCTCTTTCTCCTTCTATCTCTCCCTTCCTCCCTCCCTCCCTCCCTTGCACTTTCTCTAAAAAATCAATGGAAAAAATATCCTCAGGTTAGGATTAATAAAACAAAACAAAAAAAGGCAGGCAGAAAGCAACATTCTGTCAGGTGGTACCAGGCACACATCATCTCAAACTAAGTGGGAAGCTACTTCCAAAGAAATGACTGCTGTGATTGCTGTGAGAGTAAAATGAGCTTTTAAGCAAAAAATTCTAATTTTGGAAAACATAGATCTGACAATGTGAACTTGATAATTCCCACAGCCTCGAGTAATAGGTAATACAAAATGAAAGGGTTTCTGCTTTTACTTTAATTTTTTTTTAATCAATCTTTATTGTTCATATTATTACAAAGGTTCCTCATTTCTTCCCCCCTCCACCAGGTTCTCACCCCACCCTCCGCCCCCTCCCCATCCCCCATTGTCCTCATCCATAGGTGCACAGTTTATGTTCAGTCTCTTCCTCCCTCCCTTTCCCCGAGAGTAAATCCCTTTTCAGATAGTAAATCAGTTACTTAGCATTTTCTCATATCAATAATACCTCCACATGCCCAATGATACACTTCACACAAAAGACATTTCCAAATATGTCTCATCAAAACCAGCCTCATCCAGGCCCCACCCAAGGCACTCACAGATCAACACCCCAGCGCTATACTAACTCAACACATCCAGATCTAAGCCTTCATCACTTAATTCAGCAGACCCTCAAGTTCCCACAAAAGTTTCCAGCCATGTCTGAGAGGCAGCCGTGGGGCAGGGGAAGGCGAGGAGCGAGCTGTTCCAGGCCTGGCTGCTCCAGGCCTGGCCTCTGTTGCTCTGGATCGTTCCACAACCAGCTGCTCCGGGTCTGGTCACTGCCGCTCCCGACCTAGTTGCTCTGGACTTGGCTGCTGCTGCTCCAGGCCTGGCCGCACTCAACCCGGCTGCTCCGGGCCTGACCGCTCCCAACCTGGCAGCCGCTGCTCCGGGCCTGGCCGCTACCAGCCTGGCAGCTGCTGCTCTGGGCCTGGCAGCACCAGACCCGGCTGCTCTGGGCCTGGCAGCACCAGACCCGGCTGCTCTGGGCCTGGCAACCGCTGCTCCGGGCCTGGCCGCACCAGACCTGGCTGCTCCGGGCCTGGACGCTCCCAGCCTGGCAGCTGCTGCTCCGGGCCTGGCCGCTCCCAGCCTGGCAGGTGCTGCTCTGGGCCTGGCAGCACCAAACCCGGCTGCTCCGGGCCTGGCTGCTCCCAGCCTGGCAGCCGCTGCTCCGGGCCTGGCAGCTGCTGCTCCGGGCCTGGCCGCTCCCAGCCTGGCAGCCGCTGCTCCGGGCCTGGCCGCACCAGACCCGGCTGCTCTGGGCCTGGCCGCACCCGACCCGGCTGCTCTGGGCCCGGTTGCCCCAGGCCCGGCCGCTCCCAGCCTGGCCGCTCCCAGCCTGGATGCTCCGGGCTTGGCTACTGCTGTTCTGGGCCTGGCAGCTCTGGGCCCGGCTGCTCTGGGCCCGGCTTCTCCGGGTCCGGCCACTCTGAGTCTGGGTATTCCTGGACTGGCCACCCTGGGCTTGGCCGCCTCCACCTCAGGCCTGGCTGCCACTGCCCCAGGTCTGGCTGCTCCAGTGCTGGCTGTTGATGTTCTGGTTCTGGCTGCTGCTGCTCTGGGGCCTGGCTGTTGCTGCTCCGGGCCCGGCTGCCACTGCCTTGTGCCTGGCCACTCTAGGCCTGGCCACCGCTGTTCCAACATTGTCCTTTTGTTTTTTGTTTTTTTTAAACGCATTTATGTTGCAGTGTTGGCTGGTGAGTTGAGTTCTGACTTAGTCTTTGATTTTTCAAGATCTTCTTTGTATTCTTTCTTAAGTAATTTTACTATCTTTTGCTCTCACTTGATTTCTTCACATTGAGAACTTCTTTGGTTTCTTCCTCCTTGTCCTGGGAGTTCAGCAGGTTGGCCTGTGGCACCCCTTTGTTCTCTGCAGGCTCCTGCGCTGCTTCAGCCTGTTGCCGGGGTCGGCGCCGCCCAGGAAGCAGCCCCTGGCCTTGGCTCTGTTGCCCGCGCTCAGCGGTCGAAGGTTCAGGGGCACCCCCCCCCCCTGGGGGACCCGTCGCCCGACTCCTTGCTGGTGCCCGGCTGTCCGGTGTCCATCGCGTTCCTCCAGTCTGGAGCTTTTTTTCTCCTTCCCGCTAGGGGAGACTAGGATCAGAGTCAACAGACTGTCCTCTGCGCGCAGTGTGCGTGACTCCGGGGGCTCCGCTTTTCGCAACTCCCCCAGGACTCCACCTCACAGCCCTGTCTCCCTCTGCTTGAGCCTGGGTCCCCAGGGATTGGCCTAGAGCTGGAGTTCAGGGCAGTCGGGAGTGGGGCTCAGCACCGCCGGAGATTTTGTTTCTTCCCGCCAGGGCAATACAGCATCAGAGTCAACATTCTGTCCTCTGTACGTATTGTGCGCGTCTGCGAGCAGTGTGCGCGACTCTGGGGGCTCCGCTTTTCGCCACTCCCCTGGGATTCCGCCTCACAGCCCTGTCTCCCCCTGCCTGAGCCTGGGTCCCCAGGGTCTGGCCTAAGACTGGGGTTCAGAGCAGTCGAAACTGGGGCCCAACACGGCCGGGGCTCCTGTTTCCTTCCCTCCAGGGCAATCCCGCATCAGAGTCAACATTTCTTCCCTTGCAAGCAATGTTCGCAACTCCGGGGGCTCGGCCTTTCACCGCTCTCCCAGGACTCCACCTCATAGCCCCATCTCCCTCTGCTTGAGCTTGGGTCCCCAGGGAATGGCCTAGAACTGGGGTTCAGAGCAGCCCGTACTGAGGCTTTGTTTCTTCCAGCTAGGGTAATCCAGCATCAGAGTCAACATTCAGTCCTCTGCACGCAATGTGCGCGACTCCACGGGCCCTGCTTTTCGCTGCTCCCCTGGGATTCTGCCTCACAGCCCCGTCTCCCCCGCCAGAGCCTGGGTCCCCAGGGTCTGGCTCATAACTGGGGGTCAGTGCTGCCGGTTCGGGGATTTAGCCCAGGCTGGGGGTTTTATTTCCTTCCTGCTAGGGAACGCCAGGCAGCACCCAGCCCTCTCCTCCTCTCCGGCTGCGACCTCTCGGCGCGCGCGTGCGTGCGGGCACACAGCATGTTTCCGTACCTTAGGCTTTTTTCAGCTCCTCTGATTTTCCTTCTGGTTTTCTCTTTCCTTCTTGTTGTAGAATTTTCAGTCAGTCGACTACCTGTAGCTCTGGGCAATGTCCACTCTACATTTTAGTTGTATTCCATTGAAATTGTTGTGTGCTGCTGCGGTTAGATGTCTACCTGAGCAGCCATCTTGGATCCTCTCTGCTTTTACTTTAATTTTTAAGAAAATCTAGACCTAGGTATCCTACCTAATAAGAGTAATATGCAAATTAACCATCACTCACTAGCCATGTCCACCAGCCAATCAGAGCAAGTATGCAAATTAACCCCAACCACAATGAGCAGTTGAGGGGCTCAGGTTTCCCTGGCAATAGAGGAAGCCAAGCTTTCCATACACCCTGGCCGGTCTAGGCCTCCACTCAAGAATACAAAGTTTCAATTATAGAAGATAAATCCCAAGAAAAATGGCGGCAGCCACAGAGCTGGAGAAAACAGACTACGGTTGCCTCTGGTGACAGAGAAGGCCAAGCTTTCCACCTGCCTTGGCTGGCCTAGGCCTCCACTCAAGGATACAAAGTTTCAATTATAGAAGGTAAACAAATCCAAACAGAAATGGCTGTAGCCATGGAGCAAGTAGGAGGCATGGCTCCACTCCAGGCTACAAAGTTTCAATTGTAGAAGGTAAACAAATTCCAGATCCCAGGGCCTCTGTTTGGGTCACCAGGGGGCATGGCCGGCCTGCAAACCACCACAGACCTCCTTGCCCAAGCCACCCCACACAGCAAGGGAACCACACACCCTGACCGAGGACACCCTTCAAGGCAAACAGCTGGCCCCCACCCATGCACTAGGCCTCTATTCTATCTAATAAAAAAGTAATATGCAGATTGACCATCACTCCAACACACAAGATGGCTGCCCCCATGTGGTCAAAGATCCTGCCCCTATGGACACAAGATGGCCACCATAAGATGGCCAGCCAGGGAGGGCAGTTGGGAGTGATCAGGCCTGCAAGGAAGGGCAGTTGGGGGCAATTAACCCTGCAGAGGAGGGCAAGTAGGGGTGACCAGGCTGGCAGAGGATGGAAGTTGGGGGCAAACAGGCTGGCAGGGGAGCAGTTAGGCATCAATCAGGCTGGCAGGGGAGTGGTTAGGGGGTCATCAGGCTGATAGGCAGAAGCAGTAAGGGCAATTAGGAAGGCAGGCAGACAAGCAGTTGGGAGACAGCAGTCCTGGATTGTGAGAGGAATGTTCCTGATCAGAGAGGGTGCAGGCAGGGCTGAAGGACATCCCCCTACCCGGTGCATAAATTTCATGTACCGGGCCTATAGTTTAGCTAATAAATAGCTGATTTAGGTGTGAAAGTTCTGAGAAATTTTAAATTCATGTAGAACTTTAAAAAAAAATTTTTTTTTAAAGAAGACATTTGTTTGGTTATAAGAGCAAACTGGCACCAAGTGATCCATTACAACAAGCTAAACAAATGCCTGATGGTTAGTCCAAAAAAAAAAAAAAAAAAAAAAAAAAAAAAAAAAAAAAAAAAAAAAAAACCAATACTTAAAGACATCTCAGAAAATCAGTGCTGGAACTGTTATGGATTAAATGTTTGTGTTCCCCATCCCAAATTCCTATGTTGGGTGCTTAATCCCCAACCGGACTATATTTAGAGATGGGCCTTTATGGGAATACTTAAAAGTTAAATGGGATCATGAGTGTGGGACCCTGACTTCTCATCTGATAGAAAAACTCTCTCCCCTCCATGTGAGGACCTGGTAAGAACGCAGTGTCTGCACACCAGGATGTGGTCGCCCCACAAACAGACTTGTAAGACCTTTATCTAGGACTTCTGACCTCCAGAACTGTGAGAAAATAAATATCTGGTGTTTAAGCTCCATGGTCTCTAGTATTAACAAATGTGTGTTTTTAGATTTTATACTGTAAACCACATGTGTCAAACACAAGGCCCGCGGGCCAAATCCGTCCCGCCAGGCCTTGCAATGTGGCCCGCACCGCGCTGTCATCACTGCACTCCGCTGCGTTTCCATCACAATGACAGTTTATGACTGTTCAGTAAGCCATTCGGCCTGCGATTTAGGCTGGATTTTAGATTTTGGCCCCTTCTCTGATTGAGTTCGACACCCTACTGTAAACTGTCGACATGTGGAAGATCTACTTGTTAGAAAACCAGGATTTTGCAAACATGTCACCAGTGCAGAGATGACAAGGTCACACCTGGGTTAAGATACACACCAAGTTCAAGATCATTAGATTGTGGCATAACCAAGTACAGGAAGCTCACTAGATATGGCTACAGGGGAGAAACCAAGATGGCGGCATAGGTGATCTAGTTGCTGAATTTTGGTCCAGCATCAAAAAAATAGCCGAAACCGGTTTGGCTCAGTGTATAGAGCATCGGTCTGCGGACTGAAAAGTCCCAGGTTCGATTCTGGTCAAGGGCATGTACCTTGGTTACAGGCACATCCCCAATAGGGGGGTGTGCAAGAGGCAGCTGATCGATGATTCTCTCTCATCGATGTTTCTAACTCTATCCCTCTCTGTAAGAAGTCAATAAAATATATTAAAATAAATAAATAAATAAATAACCATTAACTATTTAAAAGGTTGTTAAAATCTCTACCTTTTTTTCATGATCATCTGCATGAGGTCAAATTCACACTTCAACCAGAAGAACATATCATAACAGACACATCTGCCAGGACAGCAGCTAGATTCTCTCACACTGTTCCCACATTCAAAGATTTACACAAATGTAAAATTATTCCACTCTTCCTAAATTTTATTTTTGTTTTGGAAAAGTTATTTTTTTATTTTCATAAAAATCTGTTATTTCTATTAACAATGTGCTTACTGCATCATCAAAGCTGCTTAAGGTCTTCAATAACTTTTAAGAGGATATCGAGTTCTGAGGTCAAAAAGTGTGAAAATGATAGGTTTAACGTCCAACTACCCCACTACTCTATAACCTTAGCGCCCCTTGAAGACAAGACAGGCTGGTCTGTCCCTTGTGACCTCAACTTCTAGCACCGGGCCTGGAGCTTTGCAAACAGATGTGCAAGTAGAACTTGTCATTGCAGAATCTGAACAGCTTGCAGACCAATGCAGCCAGAAGAAACTGTGGAGTTTGCCCAGCAGGGCTCCACCCACATGGGGTATAGGGCTCAGCTGAGCCAAGTACCTGGGAAATGAAGTCCTTGTCCAGCTCCTCCTCAGGCTGTGCTGGGCGTCTTGTGGTCCCTTCACACTCCTCCCGGATGCCGTAGTTCTGCGACAGGATCTCTGCGAGGTTGAACTGCTGGTCTGCAGAGCCCATTGACACACCTACAGAGGGGATACCACCTGCATCAGCTCCTCACCCCACCTGTCTCCATGCATATATGAAAGGTGTGTATGTGCATACATGTGCATCAACAAAGCTGTGTTAGGCTGTACATGTGTATTTTTACACATGCACACATGTGGTGGGGGCATGTTCTCATGAGGCGGTATGTATGTGTGTGTACATGTGTGCGTGCAGCTATGTATACCTACATGCATGACGTGTTCGTCTGAATGTAGTGTGTGCACAAGTACGTTTATTTTTGTGTGCATTATGAGGCTGTGTGCATATGTGAGGCTGTGTGTGTACATGCATGTAGTCAGCAATGTCAGTCTACATTGTGGAAACTCCCAACAGAAGGACTTCTGACAAGAGTACATCTGGCTAACTGCACACAAATTCTAAGCATTTTAGGGATGTGTTTTCCTGACCACAGACACTTGTGAGGGTCTGGGGAGAGAACAAGTGAACAAGGAAGAGATGAGCCCCAGATGAGTCAGCATGAATAGAGCACAGGGACCCAACAAAGCTGGCTCCACACCTGGTGCCTGCATGGCTTGGGCAAGGCCTTCAGCTCAGGAAACACAAGGGTGATGCTATGCACCCACTTCTGGGAGTCATTGCAGACACAGTACCGGGAGAATGCCAATGAACAGCATGCAATAGGCCCAACAAACACCAGTCCCTCCTTCTCCCTCTTCACCACAGCAGTGTCCCATGCACGGCCCAATGGGTGGTAGATGTTACCAGATTTTGAGTTTTCCCAAAAGAGCCAAGATGTGTCCACTGCTATCTCGCCATGATTGGTCTTCAGTAAGTTGAATTTTACAAACAAAATAATGAAGTCTCAATCAACCCAAATCATGGAGCCATGAAGGTCAAGGCTGGTCCTCCAAGTGAGTCCGAAGCACACAGTATCATTAGAAGGAGTACTGGGGCCAGGCGGTTGGGGACAAGTGGCCAGCTCAGGGAAAGTGCAGGGCACCCAAGGATGGTGCCCACTCAGCACCCATTCTACCTCCCTCAGCCCTTCCGTTTTCCTTCAGCCATGACACAGGCACTCTGATCCTCCCCTGGGTAGTCTGGCCCCCAATATAGAATGGGAAACAGAGTCCTGGCCACTCTGTCTGTACCCCTGTCCCTGACTCCATCTGCACACCGCCTCTGTCTTGCCAGGCTGAGCAAGGTTCTGTCTCTTACAATGACAGTGGCCCTGACAGCCCCAGGCAGGAGGAAGGTAGGGGCAAAGGAGGCACCTGCTGTGGTCGGCAATCCGGGCTCCCTGGGGCACAAACTGTGAGTAAGGCAGGAGACCACTTGAGGGCTCTGCCTCTCCAGCGAGGAGGCCTGCAAAGGAAGAGAAACAGGGTTAGTTCAACCAGCCTAGAACCCACTGAAAGCAAGTCTGGCTCTCTGAGTGGCCTCATCTAGACTCTGTGGGATAACGCATGCAGGCTGCTTCCAAGAGCTGAGGAGGGAACACTGATAGTGGATCTGGGCATGCAGCTGCTAGAAGCTATTCCCCTGCTCCTAAGTCAAGCACACGGAGGATGCACTGAAGTAGGCTTATACAGCAGCTCTAAACATCAGAACTTCAATGTCTTCATCTCCAAGTGGAAAAACAGCACTCACAGGGGACTGTGAGGAGCCTGACAGCCAGTGCCTAATAGTGGTTATCACCCACCCAGGACACAAGAACCAGGTAACCTAGTCTCACACACAGTCCTATTGCACACACCCAACAGGCATTCACTGAACAGCCAGCCATGCCTGACACGTGTTCCATTACACAGGGGTCCCAGCCTTCAAAAAGCAAAATAGCCACTCTTGGGACACCTAGAAATTCCTCTAAAAGTAAGCATAGAGTTATCAAATGACCCAGCATTTAATTCCACTCCCAGGTACATACCCAAGAGGACTGAAAACATACATTCATACTAAACACGCACGTTCACATATTAGCATGATTCACAAAGGCCAAAAGAAAAAGCAACCCAAAAGTCCTACAGCAGATGAATGGATAAACAAGATGTTGTCTATACACACACTGGAATATGACTCAGCTATGAAAAAGAAGTGAAACACTGATAGAAAACACAAAAGGCCACACAGTATGTGATTCCACTTATGTGACATGTCCAGAACAGGCAAACCCAGAGTCAGAAAGTGGACTCATGGTTGCCCGGGACTGGAGAGGGGGTAGGATGATTACTGATGGGGTCAGATAACCTTTTGGGGTGATGAAAATGTCCTAGAACTAGATAGAGATGACAGTTTTAAAACTTTATGAGAATACTATAAACCACCGAATTCCACATTTTAAATGGTTATATTTTGTGGTATAATAAAAACCTCAACTTTTTTTAAAAGGTCAACAAACTAGGAAAGAATGGAAACTACTCATAAAGAACCCCTGAGGAAGTCCAATAACACCCCTTAGTGGTGAAAGGCACAGGCAGGAATGCCCGCCTTCACCATGTCTGTTCAAAGTAGCACTGGAGGTTCTAGTCAGGGCAAGAAAATGTAACAGAAGGAATCCAAAATGGAAAGGGAAAAGTAAAGCTCTTTCTTTTGCACACAAAATAATCTTGCATAGAAGGTACAATAGAATCCACTGAAAACTTATCTGAACTTATTAATAAATAAGTTCAGCAAGGTAGCAAATCACAAGACCAACATATAAAAATAAATTGTATTCTCATATATTAACAATTAACAAGCCAAAAAGAAAATTAAGGAAACAATTCCATTTACAACAGCCTCAACAAGAATAAAACACATAGGAATAAATTTAGCAAAAGTTAGAAACTTATAATCTAAAAAGTGTAAAACATGTTGAAAGAAATTAAAGAGCTAAGCAAGTGGAAAGACAACCTATATTCATTGCTCAGAAGATTTACTATGGTTAAGATGTCAATATTCCCCATCTGAGCTACAGATTCAATGAGGTGCCTATCAGAATCTTAGCTGGCTTTACATATCTACTGCCAAACAGATTCCAAAAATAGTATGCAAACTCAAGGGGGCCAGAGTAGCCAAAACAATCTTGAAAGAGAACACTCCTGATTTCAAAATTACTACAAAGCTACAGCAATCAGAACAATGTGGTATTTGGCATAAGGCTGGACATTGAAATCAAAGGAATAAAAATGAGAATCCAAAAATAAACCCACATATTTACCATCAATTGAATTTTTACAAAGGTGACAAAACAATTCAACGGGGAATGAACAGCCTTTTCAAAAATGATGCTAGGAAAACTAGGATATTCACCTGAAAAGGAACAGAATTGAACACCTATCTTACACCATATACAAAAATTAACTCAAAATAGGACAAAGACCTTAAATATGAGAGCTAACTCTATCAAACTCTTAGAAGGAAACATAGGGATAAATCTTTGTTACATTGGACTAGGCAATGGTTTCTGAGATAAGACACCAAAAGCACAAGCAACAAAAGAAAAATTGATAAACTGGACTTCATAAAAATAAAAGACTTTTGTGCTTCAAAGGACATTATCAAGAAAGTGAAAAGACAACTCACAGAATGGGAAAAATACTTGCAAATCATATAGCTGAAAAGGACTTGCATCTAGAATATATAAAGAATTCTTACAACACATTAATAACAAGATAACCTATTTTTAAATGGGTTAAGGGTCTGAAAAGACATTTCTCCAGAGATGCACAAATGGCCAGCCAATAAGCATGAGAAAAAATATTCAACATCAGGGGAAATCAAATAAAAACACAGTAAGATACCACTTCATAAGCACAGAATGACTACGACTAAAAAGACAGAACAAGTTGTGTCAGGAAGAATGCAGCCCATCCAGGAGGGAATGTAAAATGGAGCAGCTACTTTGGGAAACAGTCAACAGTTCCTACAAAAGTTACTACAATGTTAACCAGCAATTTCACTTCTAGGGATTCAGAGTATGCCACCCCAAAATGCACCACTCTGGCGTAAGGATTATTTCAAGCAGAAGACAACTGAGAAAACCAGACACAGGATGAGCTGAAAGCAGAACATAAACTCCTGTGAGGGTGCCCCCCAAAACCAGGAAGAGAGCCCCCTTATCACTGGGGACAAGATAAGAATCTGCACCAAGAGAGTATCTGCACACACAGACCTTACTAACGCACCTGAATTTCCACTAGTTCCCCCATGCTTACCTTCCCACAACTTGATGCCCTTAGAAACTCAGTCCTTTTCCTTTGTCATCACTCCTCTAAGATTTACTGTTCTTTTGTTCAGATGCTAGAAGCCCAAATCCTCACCCCGCCAGTTACTCATCACCTAGTTCTCCCATGTGACGGGCACTACTTGTTTCACTCTTGTTAGTTAGGCTGCCTTTCGTAGGTTTAAATCACAGGAACCCTAAGGTCAACCAAAGGACTTGTATGCATGCAATGGACAAAGACAACGGGGCGTGAGGGCATGAGTGAAGCAGGGGAGTGGCAACGGGGTGATAGGGACACATATGTAATGCCATAATCAATAAAGAAAAAAAAATTTAATGATTTTTTTAAAATCACAGGAACCCCAAGGAGAACCTACAAGAGTTAAAGGGACAAAGTTAGGCTCCTCCTCCCCTATGTCTACACTGAAAACTGCATATGAATATTCATAGCAGGATTTCTCCCAGCAGCTAAAGGTGGAAAGAACCCTAATGTCCATCTGCTGATGAACAGAAATAGCAAACAAAACAATAAAATATTACTCAGCCATGACAAGGAACAAGGCACTGACACTTGCTACCAAATATGGACTTGAACACATGATGGTCAGTGAGAGAAGCCAGACACAAAGGGCCACAAAGTATGTTATTCCATTTATGTGAAATGTCCAGAAGAGGCAATCCACAGAATCAGAGAGTGGGTTCATGGGTGTCAGGGGCGGGGGAGGAGGATGGAGAGTGACAACCAAGGAATACAAGTTTCTTTTGGGGTAATGAAAATGTTTTAAAATCAATTAATGATAGTTGCACAACTCTATGAATATACTAAAAACCACTGGATTGTACACATTAAAACAAGTGAATCACACATCAAGAAAGCAGTTTGAAAAAAAAAAAAAAGGAAAAAAAAGGGAAAGGATTAGAATATTTACTAAAATAAAGTTTTAAAATTTAGGGGGGAAAAACTTTAGAAAGAATTTCCAAACTTTCTCCCCTCTCCCTACCCTGACTTCAGTGCAAGCCCACCCTCAATGGTGGGATTCCCACGGCTGCACTTCCCCTGTTCACAACCATCAATCACAATTCCAGCAGTCACTGCTCGTTTTGTCAAGGTGGAAAAAGAAAGAGGATGGGTAGCTGGTTAAGGGCATTCTGGGTAAAAACAGTGGGGGGAAGGTGGGAGAGAAGAAAGACAGACAGCGCTCCAGAGACTTAGTCCCAAACAGGAGTGGGAGCATAACCTGGTGTCCAGGCCAGGTCTTTTGCGCACGAAGGAGGTTCAAAGGCGGTACAAGCTGATGAGCAGGAAGGCTGCCTGTCTGGAGGGGGACAGCCTTGACTCCTCAGGCTCGGAACAGCCCTTCTTCTAGGTCTGCATCTAATTGCTACTGAGCCCCTCCAGGTTTAACCCCCAGTGACATGGTGGCAGATCCAATTCTCCAGGCTGGTGTGCACCCCACAGGCTCTTCCCTTGTGATGCTAATATGCTTGCCTGCCTTCAAGAGGTGGGGTTCTGCACCCCCTCACTGTCCGCAGGGGTGGGCCTGTGACTTTGGTGGGCGGGGCGCTAAGTGACTTTCTAGGTTAGGAGGTAAAATGCAACTCAGATTCCACCTGGTACCTTCTGAGACAGTCACTGTTGGAACCCAGCGGCCATGCTGTGAGGAAGCCCAAGCCACACAGGCCACAAGTAGGTGGCCTGCACCAGCAGCCACACCTGAGCAAGGAAGCTTTCCTTCCAGCCCCAGCCATCAGCTGACTCCAACCACATGACTAGCTCCGAAACAAAACTGCCTAACTGAACCCAGTCAACCCTCAGAACTATGAAACATAATAATAAAATGATTGTTAGAAAAACTGAGTTTCCAGGTGACTCATTTCACAGCAATCATTAAATGAAACATCCTTCACCCACACCAGCAGAGGTGGTCGGTCCCGCGGGGCAGCACTGAACTGCTCCATTAGACAGCATTTACTTTGCGGAGTGCTTCCGCTGGGCCAGGAAAGGCAGGAGGCACGGGGTGCATGGAGGTCAATCAGAAACAGGTTCTGCCCATCTCCACCCACATGAGTTACTAGTCTAGTAGGTGACACAGATACAAACAAGTGAATATGCACAGTATTAAAGGAGAAAACAGGGTGGAGGGCCTGCACAACTGGGGTCAGGGAAAGCCTCTGAGGGCATCTCTAGGCAGGGCCTGTGGAGCACTGGAACAGCATTGTGGTAGCTGAGTCCCTCCAGGGTGCTAGATGCAAGAAAAAGGAAGGAGCCAGGGGGTCGGTGTGGGTGACAGAGATCTGGGACCACACCGCCAGGCGGGGACCACAGGGAGGGGATGCACTGCATCCAAAGGATAACGAGAGCCATGGAGGGAGGGAGGGTGTAAGGACAGGTACTTAGGTATGAGGAAAGCGGTATGAAGAACCCTGTCTACTCTCAAGCACCGCCTCTCCTCTCCCAGTGCTGATAGGGTACTGATGGCTACTTTGGAGATGACAAAAAGCAGTTAATGCTGATCAAATGCTTACTGCTAGGTAACACATCACCATTTTCATCAGTTAGACAGCTAGTTATCAGTGATTTTATGAGGTTCAGCTTCTCTGTGCAAGTCCCTGTGGCCAGACCTCATGCAACCTCTTGTTCTTGGCTCTTCCCATTTCAGAGATTAGGAAACTGTGGCTGAGACATTCAATAAGCTGCCCCAAATCACAAAGAGCAAGAGGCTCCAGAGCCACAAGTCTCCTGGGCAGAGGCTGGCCATGGCTCATCCTGTCTGACATTTGCACACTTGTTCCTTTATTGACCAGCAGCCTCCAAGGCCCTTTAGGACCATCATTGTTGGGTTTCTACTCACAGCCAGGCCCTCAGGGCCTCCCACAAAGCCAGGCATATAGGGGACCCCACATGTAGGCTTTCTCCAAGGAAACCAACTCAAATTCACTCAGAAGGGCACCACCCCAAACTGTCAACAGGGGTAACAGGGGCACCCAGGGCAACCGGTTGCTGTGAGAGTTCCAGAGCTTCAGCACTGAGCAAGGCAAAGTCAACAGCCAGACCCAGCAGCAATCAAGGCAGGCTGGCTGGGGAATCTGGTCCTTCCACCCATGACACACAGCTATCTTCCAGGCCAACACTGCTGCCCAAATGGCACCTGGTGCCCAGAAAGACCACCACCCATGCCCCTGAGCCAAGAGCGCACACACACACTCACTCAACCACCCCACCTCCCTCCATCCCACAAGACCAGCCACTGCCCCCTTGATGCCGGTTTCCCTTAATGCCCCTTAAGAAAGGAGGATTAACTCTCTAAGACCCCTGTGGATTCAGGCACCCAGCACAAGGCCAGAACTGGCTGGAGAGGTCTAGCCTTGCAACCAATTGCCCACACCCTCTTTGGCACAAATGCAGAGCCTGTTGCTGCCCCCCGAGAAAGTCCCTGGTTGGAAAAAATGGCCAGCCCTGCTCTCAAACACCTGCCCCTGTTCTGTCAAGACAAACACTCAACGTGGTGCCAAAACTGCCGCATCTCATTGGGTGAGCGCCTTCCTCCCTGTTGGCCTCACCACCACCCTTCGGTGAGGACCACCACTTGCAGCGTCTGTGCACCTGTTTGGCAGGGGCCTTAACTTCTGCGTCCCCAGGAGGAGTCATCATGCACTAAAAGCCACACTTACTGAGCCCCTAGCAGGTGCATTACCTCATTTCATCTTCACTAGTGTCCTAGAAGGTGAGAGAGAGCAGGTCCACACTGTCTTACTCAATATTCCAAAGTCAAGAAACCCCAAAAACGAAAGTTGTTTGTCCCTGCTTTGACCTGACAAGAAGCTCTTAGGTGTCGTTCTTTATCCCAGAAGGCCTAGGTGAGTTTGGTCAAGCATCACAGTTCCAAAACTCCACAGATAGATCCATAAATTGGGAAAAACTCGGAATTCCAAAATCTATCAGGCCTCAAGGATTCTGGGTTAAGGGTCTTGGGCCTGCTTTCCCGGACCGAGAGAAGAGGCTCCTCCTAGAAGTAACTTGGGAGTCCCCAGCAAAGGCTGGTCTCTCTCACTCTACCCGCCCTGAAGAAACCTATGCATCCCACCTCACTCCCCGTGCCGAGTTCGAATCCCGCCCGGCATCTGGCGGGAGGGCGCAAATCAGCGGTGCCGCGCACCTGGGGGCTCGAGAGCGGGATGCGGCGCCGGGTCCCAAGCAGGGTCTGGGCGGGGAGAGCCTGGCGCGCGACAGGAGTGCTCTGCAAAGTTGGTCAAGGCAGGGGTCGGCACGCGCACCGCCGGGCCAGAGCAGGGAGGGGAAACCCCGGCGCATCCCCAACACCCCGGTCTGGCGCCCCCTCCTCAAACCCCTCCCCACTCCGCAGCCCCCGCCAGCGCCACTGCTCCTGCACATGCGCACTGCAGCCCGCGATGTGGCAGCCGGGGAAGGGGGGGCCGGGGCCGGGGGCGGCTATCCATGGAGCCCCGCGCCCCTCGGGTCCCCAATGGACGCAGCGTCCTGGGTAACGCCTCGCATCCTCGGAGCCGGGGGAGGGCGAGTCTCCGCGCCCAGGGCCCCGACGTGGCTGCGGTCCGGCGGCGGGGAACGCGGGTGCGCGGAGGTGGGGGGCCGGCTCCCCCGGCCCGCTCACTCACCTCCGCCATGGCCGTGTGTGCGCGGGAGGCGGTGGCCGCACCGGGATCCCCGGATACGGAGCCGCGGGCTCATTGGCTGCGGCGCATCGGGAGGCGGGGTCTTGGGAGGGCGTGGCCTGAGAGGGCGGGGCGCGGGCGGGGCGTAGTAGGTGCGCGGACGGGGTTGCGCGGTATGTGTGCGGGGGCGGGGCGGGCTCGCGAAGCCAGGGTCTGGGGTCTCTGCCTGGGCCTTGGTTTGGGGCGTGGAGGATGCTGTTAATAAAAACATTGATTCTTGGTAACAACACCTGTGTAGGAAGCTTTGGTTGTATTTCCTCCTTCCAATAGCTTCGCTAAATACTGTGAGCACCCTGGTGCTACAGGTGAGGAAACTGAGGCCTAGAATGATGGGGCACCCAATGCATAAGTGGTGGTAGTGCCAGGACTGAAGTCGGTAGGTAGCGTGGTTCTGGAACTTTCTTCAGTTTTTCATCAGTGATGACCCATCCAGTGTTCCAAAGAACCGACTGGGGAGCTTGCAAGATGCACCGCAGGACGAGTTTTGGGCACTGCAACCCGATACCAAGGAGAGGATAGGAGGTGGATGCAAACCCACGGCCAGCCCAGCCGTTTGGCTCTGAATTCATTATGGACCGTTTGCACGTCCGGAACCTGTGGTGGGCGCTGGGGGAGAGTTTGAACAGGACAGTCCTGGCTTCGCTACATTTTAAATTTCAGACTTACCAGTGCTGTGAGCATGGGCAGAAGGTTTATGGAGAGCGAGAGAGGAAGGTGGGAGGATGGAGGCAGTGAGTAGGCAGAGGCGTCCAGCAGGACTCACGTGGTGGCCGCGAGCAGAGAAGTGGAGAGAGCTGGGAAGGTGCACCCCACAAATCTCTGATGGAATGCAGGTGGAAAGGGCATGAAGTTGCACCAACGAGTGGTTGGTAGTTCCTACTGAGACGGGGAAGAATGGAATTGGGATGATGGGGGACTCAAGAATCCCCATTCCGCTGAAACCGGTTTGGCTTAGTGGATAGAGCATCTGCTTGCAAACTGAGAGGTCCCAGGGTCCATTCCAGTCAAGGGCATGTACCTTGGCTACAGGCACATCTCCAGTGGGGGGTGTGCAAGAGGCAGCTGATCGATGTTTCTCTCTATCCCTCTCTCTCTTCGTCTCTTTTAAAAATTAATAAAATATATTTTTAAAAAAAAAAGAGAAAAAAAGAATCCCCATTCGCTTCCCAGCTTTTGCCAGCAGAATACTGCTGGACTCATGGTGACAAGATGCTCCTCTTCAACCAGCCTGGGGAGAAGACGAGGGGGCGCAGGCTGAGTTTATTATGGAGTTCAGGCTGAGTCTGAGGTGCTTGTGGACACCCCAGGATGGTAGTTGGATAAGCAAGTCTGAACACAGACTCAGGGGGAAGTTGTGCAGTTGTGGGAAGCTGATGTGTGACATCTGAGAAACTCAAGACAGCGGGGGGCGGGGAGGGAGTGATTTTGGAAATAAAGGACTGTACAAATCACAGGTAATGTGAACATAAATATTATTATTTTCCTCTTCTCATCCTTTTGGCCTTCCAGCTTGTCCCCCACCCCCTCCAGGCCAAAATTCTCAGAGCCAGCCACACATACAAGGTGTTTAGCACTTGGGTGTTTACTGGGAATGAGGCCTCAGAGGCATGGCCTGGATCGGTCACACTTTTTTAGTGATGCTTTTGGGGGTGGCGAGCTCATACAGGCGAGGGGATGCCCGAGCCACCAGGGAAGCCCGGGAAATGTAGTAGGGGTCATAGCCCTCATTGAGCTCCTTTCGCACTTTGGGCTTGGCCAGAAAGCGGGTCCGGGGACTGGCCACTGCCTTCTTGGTGACGTCCAGCACTTCCCAGCGTGGATCTCGGTCAAGGACACACTGGTCTGACAGGGCCTTGGGCACTAGAAGAATAGGAGAGAGTGACAACATGAGGCACTCCCACAGGAAGAGCAACCTGCAAGGTCAAAGCTCCCAAGTTCAATGGCCTCTCCAGTGATGAAGGAATGGAAAAGCACAACATGTCCCATCCACGCACTGGAATATCACTCAGCCATGAAAAGAAGTGAAGCACTGGCAACTCCCTACAACCTGGATGGACCTTGCATACATGATGGTCGGTGAGAGAAGCCAGACACAAAAGGCCATACAGTGTGTGATTCCATCAATGTGAAATGCCCAGAACAGGCACATCCATAAAGACAGGAAGTGGGTTAGTGGGTGCCAGGGGCTGGGGATGGGTGGAAAGTGACTGCTAATAGGGGGTTTCTCTTTGGGGTGATGAAAATGTTCTAAAATGTATTGGGGTGATGAGTACACAACTCTGAGTGTACTAAAAAGCATTGAAAGGTACACTTTCTTTTTTATGGATATATATAATGAATTACTTTATTTTTTTAAAATATATTTTATTGATTTTTTTTTTTTTTTTACAGAGAGGAAGAGAGAGGGATAGAGAGTTAGAAACATCAATGAGAGAGAATCATCGATCAGCCACCTCTTGCACACCCCCTACTGGGGATGTGCCTACAACCAAGGTACATACCCTTGACTGGAATAGAACCCAGGACCCTTCAGTCCGCAGACCAAAAAGCAAAACCTGACACATTCTTATACACATACACACACACACACACACACACACACACACACGGATGTGTATTTACAGGTACATCTGAAATATGGATCAATATATAGATGAATGTGTATGTACAAACATGTATATATTTATAGTCCAGGTGTATGTGAGAGAGAAACAAAATGGTCTGATGAATCAGTGCATATGTGGGCATAGCTCCTGGGGTAAGCAGAGCGCTCAGAGCAGTCTCACCTAGAGGCCATATTGGAGCTCCGCCCCATGGGAGGCAGAGGAGTGAGCCAGGCAGGTATCTGTGGTCAGAGTTCTAGGCAGCGGGAGAGGAACCACATAGATGGGGTGGGCAAGGGCCTGTGGGCCACACAGAGTGAAACAGGAGCCCTGGGAGGGCCATGAGCAGAGAAGGGTGGAATCCAGCTTAAATTTAGCAAGACCTCTGTGGCTGCCACATGGGAAATGGGCAAGGGTGGCATCAAGAATAAGGGTGGAGGCGACTGCTCTGGTCCAGAGACACCTTAGGGGGCCATGTGGAGGGCAGGGGGAGCTGTGGGCGAGTTCTTGATGTGCTCAGAAGACCAAGCCCGCAGGAGTTGTCAGTGCATTGGACGTAGTGTGTGACGGGAGGGGACTGGCAGGAGAGCACTTGTAGAGTGCACGTTCACGGGCACACACTCAACAGCATGCATTTGTGGCTCTGCAAGTAACTCCATGTTACACTCAGAAGGAAGCACACAGAACGGCATTATGTTTGGGTGGGTTCCTTTCTCCGTTAGGCTGTCCTGCATTTTTCCAATTCTCTACAGCTAGTACACATTACTGTTGTCATGGTGGGACTGGGTATCTTGTTTATTTTAAAGGACAGAAGAGAATCAGGCCAACACCACTTCAAAGCTGCCCTTCCTGCCTGGCCAGGGTGGCTCAGTTGGTTGAGTGCCATCCCATGCACCGAAGAGTTGTTGGTTTGATTCCTGGGCAGGGCATGCACTTAAGTTGCAGGTTCAATCCCCAGTCGGGGCTCTTACTGGAGACAACCAAATTATGTTTCTCCCTAATCTTTCCCTCTCTCTCTCTCTCTCTCTCTCTCTCTCTCTCTCTCTCTCTCTCTCTCTCTCTCTCTCAATCCAGCATGTCCTCAGGTAAAGCTTAAAACACAATGCTGCCCATCGCCTCAGCTTGGCTCCCTCATTCCTGGCCCTGTCTCGCCAACTTTCTCTTCTGCACCATGTGTCCTGCTAGAGACCCATTCAGACAGCACTCAGCTTCAGGCCCATGGCCTCCTCTAACGGTTGCCTCTCTTCCCCTGGGAGCCTGCACAGTGCAACTTATCCACAGGAATCCAACAACTGGTTTCCAGCTAAGGGAGCAGATGAAGAGGGAAGCACAAATCTGGCAGAAGCTGGCCTAAAGTCCAAATCTTCTGACGGTTCCCTGCCCCTGCCTATGTTCACTGGGGACGGACGCAAGGACCTACTTACTGGCCAAGTGAATGAGCCGGTTATAGTCTAATGCATGTGGCTTAGGTTTTGGCACAGGGTCCCACTCTTCCAAAAGTGTGGCCGGAGGCCTGGGCTTTGCCAACTGCACGACCCTTGCACTGGGGATGGCCGTCATGGCTGCCTTGGACACCTTGGATACCTGGAAACAGAATGAGAGGGGAAAGAGTGAAACAGCCCATCATGCCTCAGAGGCCCCTGGATAAAAAACAAACACAAACAAACAAGCCGTAAGCAGTGCAAAGAGACAGACGAGTGGCTGGAAATAAGTTAGTTTGCAATGTGTTCAGCAAAAGGCTCGGTAGCTATCATATGTAAAGAGCTCCTCTAAGTCAATAACCCAAAAGAATCCATAGGGAACTAGGCTACTCATATAGGACAGTAAACCTAAATGGTCAATAATGCTCTCTGCTGACCAGGGAAATGTAAATTAAAACAACAGAGTATCACTGAATGCAAACAAATGAGACAAAAATGAAAATGTGGACACTGTCAAGCCCTGGCAAAATGTCAGCTGGCATGGGTTGGTGTCTGAGTGTCAACCTATGAATCAGGAGTTCACGGTTTGATTCCCGGTCAGCACATGCCAGGTTGCAGGCTTGATCTCCAGTGTGGGGGAATGCAGGAGGCAGCCCATCAGTGATTCTCTCTCATTGATGTTTCTATCTCTCTCTCCCTCACCCTTTCTCTCTGAAATCAAATTTTAAAAATAGAATGTGGGAAGAGAGATATCCTCATGCATTGATGGTGGGAGAGTAAATTAGTACAAGCACTTTGAAGAACCGTTTGTCCATCTCCGGCAAAGCTGAGCATGTGCACGCTTGACAACCACCATATAGAGAAACATCTAGTGGGGGTACAAGGATTTGAGTGCAGCGGTATTCACTGCAGCAGAAACAACCTAGTTGTCAAATGATAGGGGACTGAATAAACTAGCTATGGTATATTCATAGGATAGGACATGACCAAACAGTTAAAATGTTGCTTCTATATAAATCAGAATGATGTGCTCTAGAAAATATATTAGGGGAAAAGCAAGAAGTAAGATGCCATGCTATATAATAAAAGGCTAATATGCAAATCGACTGAATGGTGGAAAGATGGTCACTCTGATGCACATGACCACCAGGGGCAGACACTCAATGTAGGAGCTGCCTCCTAGTGGTCAGTGTGCTCCACAGCAGGGAGCGCCACTCAGCCAGAAGCTGGGCTCATGGCTGGCGAGTGCAATGGTGGTGGTGGGAGCCTCTCCCTCCTCCCGGCAGCACTAAGTATGCCCCACTGATCCTCCCAATCTTCGAGAGGGCACAGGCCAGGCTGAGGGACCCGCCCCACTTCTGCCGTCCCCCACCCCAGCACACGAATTTTGTGCACCGGGCCTCTAGTATTTTATATTAAAAACACGATGATTATGGCTTAAGGCTCTGTGTATGTAATAAAGTATATAGATTGATGAAAATAAGACAGCTGGCCAAAGTCACACATATTAGGGGGAAAGCATAATATGTCTGTCTAGGTCCCTGATCCTAGCCCACTGAGGGCAGGCAGTGCCCCTCCCATTGAGGTGGGGTTCTCAGGAGAACCAGTCACCTACCTCAGACATGTCTATGCTCCAAATGTTATTCCGGACCTTCGGGGCAGCCAGTTGCCTCAGGCGATTAGAGAGTTGGTATTCCAAGGTGCATGGAGAAACGGGCATTCTATGTGGGAAAAGCAAAACCCGACACATTCTTACACACACACACACACAGACATACACACACACACAGACACACACACACACACAGACACACACACACACACACACACACACACAGGGGAGCCCTAGGGGACATCAACATTTGAGACACTAGCTCAGCCAAAGTGGGGTGTGTGTGTGTGTGTGTGTGTGTGTGCGCGCGCACGTGCGTGTGATCTCTTTCTCATCTCTTCTCTTCCCCGGGGATAAGAGGGAAAGTGAAGGGTCTGGAAAACATCTCCAAGAAGGCATTCATAAAAGAATCCCTAACAGGCCGAAACTGGTTTGGCTCAATGGATAGAGCGTCGGCCTGCGGACTGAAAGGTCCCAGGTTCGATTCCGGTCAAGGGCATGTACCTTGGTTGCGGGCACATCCCTGGTGGGGGGTGTGCAAGAGGCAGCTGGTCGATGTATCTCTCTCATCGACGTTTCTAACTCTCTATCCCTCTCAATTCCTCTCTGTGTAAAAATCAATAAAATATATTAAATTAAAAAAAAAAAAAAGAATCCCTAACAGGAGCCCCTATGTATTCTCAAGGCTGGAGATATGCTGTCCTGAGGTCATTCCCCCACCCCAGGGCCTTCTGTGTGTGTCCAGCCGTTGTCACAGAAAGCTGGAAAAGTGAATTTCCACTGGGTTTGCTGAGCCCACACCTCCTAAAACCAGGCCTCAGCTATACCTCTGCTCTAGAAATAAAACCATGTTTCATTGATCTGAGGCAGACGTTTTATATTTTCCCATCTCTGAGGTCGAGGTGCAGCTTGTAAACGTTGCCAGCCGGACGTCAGGAGCTCCCACCAGTTATCCTCACTGGTGTGTGGGTGTAGCTGTTCTCAGTGAAGTAACCTAAGTCGAGCTACATGTGCTCTTGGTTCTACAGATGTTGTCTAATTGCAGTTTAAATTATCTTCAGATTATATTATCATTCAGCATAAAAATAAAAAAGTTATTTTCACAAAACAGGCTTAAAAACAGAGTGTGGAACATGTCAACATCTCTGAATCAAAAAAAAATGATTCAGACTTCCTGTCAAGATGGGAGCATAGGCAAATGCAATTCTGGCCTCCTCCTACAACCACAGCAAAATTACAACTAAACTGCAGACAGCATCATTCAGAACCACCTGAAATCTGGTTGAATGGAAGTCCTACAGCTAGGGAATTTAAGAAGCAGACACATAGAGACTGGTAGGAGGGGTGGACACACAAAACAGGCTGGTCACACACCCACATGTGGCAGATAAAAACTGGGAGGGAGCCCTAGCTGGTTTGTCTCAGTGTATAGAGTGTTGGCCCCTGGCGTGGGGGGCCCCAAGTTCGATTCCAGTCAAGGGCACATACATCAGTTGCAGACTTGGTCCCTGACCCTGGTCAAGGCACATGCAGGAGGCAACCAATTGATGTGTCTCTCACACATGGATGTTTCTCTCTCTGTGTCTCTCTCACTCCCCTCTACTCTCTCTAAAAATCAATGGGAAAATATCCTCAGGTGAGAATTAACAAAAAAATTGGGAGGGATATCTTGGCTGCAGAGGTCTCCCCTGAGGAGCAAGAAGTCCCAGCCCCACACCAGGTCCCTCAGCCCGGGGTTCCAGTGCCAAGAAGAGAATTCCCTATAACTTCTGGATGTAAAAAACCAATGGGGATTGAGACTAAGGATTACAGAGGGCTGCTTGAGTCCCAGGCAGTTCCCTTAAAGGGCCCACATATGGCCTGGCTGGTGTGACTCAATTGGTTGAAGCATTGTCCCTTACACAAAAAAGTTGTGGTTCAATTCCCATTTGGGTCTCATACCAGGTTGCTGATTGGATCCCTGGTTAGGGTTCATATAGTAGGCAATCAATCAATGTTTCTCTCTCACACTGATGTTTCTCTCTCCCTTCCTCTCTCTCCAAAATCAGTGGAAACATATCCTCAGATGAAAATTTTAAAAACAAGTCTGTAAGTCACATACAGACTTAATTGGGCTCACTCCCTCAGAGCTCCAGCACTGGGACAGCAGCTTGAAAGGCACCAGAGACATACAGGAAGAAACTAAATTGTCCAGCATCAGCACAAGAGCTGCAGTGGCTGATTTTTCCGAGACAGATGTGCTGGCAGAGACCATGTTCCTTTGATGAGCTCTCCCCGCACAGAGCCAGTATGCAGGTACCATCCCTGAGACCATCAACCTCCCTCTGTGTTGTCTCACTCACGTGATGCCCTGAGGTCTTGCCCACCCAACTTTCGAGCCCAACTAAGCTGTTTCCAGTGGCTTTTCCATATGTATGTTCTGTCTGGGCTCATGCTTCACATTTTCCTAAAATATCTCAAAAAAGCGGCATTTGGCCTCAACAAACCCATACCTTTTGTTAAGTGGCTCAGACCTGGCACTAGCAACAGCCGGCCTTGGTTCAAAGCTTTTTCTCACCTGGCCACCTCCAAGCCCCTCACAAGTAGCAGCCATCTTCAGATAGCTTTATTTTTATTTTTATTTTTATTTTTTTTATTTATTTATTTATTTTTTTTTACAGAGAGGAAGAGAGAAAGATCGAGAGTTAGAAACATCGATGAGAGCCGAAACCGGTTTGGCTCAATGGTAGAGCGTCGGTCTGCAGACTGAAAGGTCCCAGGTTCAATTCCGGTCAAGGGCATGTACCTTGATTGCGGGCACATGCCTGGTAGGGGGTGTGCAAGAGGCAGCTGGTTGATGTTTCTCTCTCATCAACATTTCTAGCTCTCTATCCCTCTCTCCTCCTCTCTGTAAAAAAAATCAATATATTAAAAAAAAAAAAAAAAAAAAAAGAAACATCGATGAGAGAGAAACATTGATCAGCTGCCTCTTGCACACCCCCTATTGGGGATGTGTTCTCAACCAAAGTACATGCCCTTGACCGGAATCGAACCTGGGGCCTTTCAGTCTGCAGGCCGATGCTCTATCCACTGAGCCAAACCGGTTTTGGCCAGATCGCTTTATAGTTCATGCAGGGTGGCCCCAGGCAGAACACAGGTGGTGGCTGACCTTAGCCTGCACTTTCAGGAGGTCCCAGATCCAACACACCAAGTGGATAGTTTCAGACCACATCAAAGCATCATCACCCAACCACTTCCACAAGTGGCACACTCAGGTGGTGGACTGAGTGGGCATCAGTGCTCTGCTGAATTAAGTCCTGCTCTGTGGAGTGGGCCCCTGCACAGCTCATCCTCCATGGGTGGTCAAAGGTCTTTGGTCACAGCCAGTCCTTGCAGCTGATCAGCCTGAGGTTAAATCCTTCCCATTGACATGCCAACAGCAGTCAAGGCTCAACTACAACAGGAGGGTGAAAACAGCTCACATTGAGGGGGAGACACAACTCAGCCTGGGTGATCATGAAGACTGTGCCACTGGATCATACAGAACACCTACTACATTAGGGCACTGTACCAAGCCAAGGAGACATAGCAGCTCTACCTAATACATAGAAACAAACACAGGGAGGCGGCCAGAATGAGGAGACAAAGAAACATGTTCCAAATGAGAGAATAGAATAAAATTCTAATAAAAGAACAAAACAAAATAGAGGCAAGCAATCTATAGATGCTGATTTCAAAACCCTGGTTATAAGGATGTTCAATGAACTTAATGAGAGCTTCAACAGCATAAAAAAAAAAAAAAAAAAGGACCAGTCAGAAATGAAGCATACACTAACTGAAATGAAGAATAATTTACAGGGAATCAATAGTAGAGTAGATTGCCAAAACCGGTTTGGCTCAGTGGATAGAGCGTCGGCCTGCGGACTGGAAGTTCCAGGTTCGATTCCGGTCAAGGGCATGTACCTTGGTTGCGGGCACATCCCCAGTCGGGGGTGTACAAGAGGCAGCTGAACAATGTTTCTCTCTCATCGATGTTTCTAACTCTCTATCCCTCTCTCTTAAAAAATAAATAAGATATATATTTTTTAAAAATAGTAGAGTAGATGAAGCTGAGAATCAAATCAGTAATTTGAAATATAAGGAAGCAAAACACCAAATCAGAACAGCAAAAAGAAAAAAATTTTTTTCAAAACAAAAACAAAAAACAAAAAACGAGGAGAGTGTCAGGAACCTCTGGGATAACTTCAAATGTACCAACATTTGTATCAGAAAAGAGGAAGCAAGAAATTGAAAACCTATTTGAAAAAAATGACAGAAAACTTCCCTAACCTGCTGAAGAAAATAGACATATAAGTCCAGGAAGCACAGAGAGTCCAAACAAGGTAAGCCCAAACAGGCCCACACCAGGACCCATCATAATTAAAATGCAAAAGTTTAAAAACAGAGAGAATCTTAAAAGCAGCAGTTGATTATCTAAAGGGAGCTCCTACAAAATTCAACAATTTCTTAACAGAAACTTTGCAGGTCAGAAGGGATCAGCAAGAAATATTCAAACTGATGAAAAACAAGGACCTACAACCAAGATTATTCTACCCAGCAAAGTTGTCATTTAGAATTGAAGGACAGATAAAGAGCTTCCCAGACAAGAAAAAGTTAAGAGTTCATCACCAAACCAGTATTATATGAAATGTTAAAGTTCTTCTTTAAGAAAAAGAAAAAAAGAAATGATAAAAAAAAAAACATGAACAATGAAATGGCAATAAATATATATCTACCAACAATTGATTCTAAAATAAATAAATAAATAAATAAATAAACAAACAAACAACAACAAAAACAAGCAGAACAGAATCAGACTTATAGATACAGAGAACATTTTGATGGTTGCTAGATGGGAGGGGATTGGGGAATGGGTGAAAATGGTGAAGGGATTAAGAAGTACAAATTGGCCGAAATCAATTTGGTTCAGTGGATAGAGTGTCGGCCTGCAGACTGAAAAGTCCCAGATTTGATTCCGGTCAAGGGCATGTACCTTGGTTGCGGGCACATCCCCATTAGGGGGTGTGTAGGAGGCAGCTGATCGATGTCTCTCTCTCATCGATGTTTCTAACTCTCTATCCCTCTCCCTTCCTCTCTGTAAAAAAATCAATAAAATATATATTTTTTTAAAAAGAAGTACAAATTGGCTGTTACAAATTAGTCATGGAGATGTAAAATACATCATAGAGAATATAGTCAATAATTGACATAATAAAAGAGTAACGTGCTAATTGTACCTTCCCAAAGTCCACCAGTCAGTCAGGAGTGAGCATGCAAATTAACCCAACAAAGACTGAAGGTTAATTTGCAAATGTGGGTGCTGAGCGGCCAGGGTCAGGCCTCTGAGCAGCGAAGGAAGGCGGAAAGGTGGCTCCGACCAGAGAGAAGGCGGTGCCGGCAGCCAGGGAAAGGAAGGCCCGTTCTGGCATGAATCTTTGTGCATCAGGCTTCTGGTATTCTACTAATTATGTCTGGTGTCAAATAGGTACAAGACTTATCAGGATGAACACCTAGTTATGTAGTGTCCAATCACTGGGGTGTACACCTGAAACTAATACAATAATGTGTGCCAAGGGTAATTGAAAAATAAAAAAATGATTTATAAAAAGGGATTCAAACATTCGAACACCCTTCAGTTAATTTAGTTCCATTGTATTTTCCTTTTTGTGAATGCATTAATATAGGTAATTAAAATTTGTGTCTAAATAACTCTTTGACAAGCATAAAAGTTCTCAGTGATAGCAAGGAATTGGGTCATTAGTTGTATATAAAATAAAAATGCCTTACAATTGCTAGCTTTCCAGAGCCAACAAAATCCATGGTGGTGGTAGGTAGCATTGCTGAGCACTTACTACGGGCCAGGTGCTGAGTAGCTTTTGTGTGTGATCTCTACTGCCACCTGCTCTGCAGGTGGAGAACTGAGATCCCAAGGGTCATGGGCCTGCCTGCAGCCATCCAGTTGAGACTTGGGTTATCTAGCCTAGAACCTGAATCCTTCCCTCCTCCCTGCCCCCCCCCCACCCCGCCCGTTCTACAGCCTGTCAAGAGAAGAGAAAGGTTTCCTGCCAAACTCTGCCCTCAGAGTGCCTACCCAACCCTTTTGTCCTTACCTATTGCAGTTGTAATTCTCCATGTGGAACTTTTTGGGTCGAGCAAGTTCCTCCATTCGGGGGGACACTGCTGCACAAATGGGAAACAGCCCCAGCTTGAGACCTGCCCACCCGCTGGGGTTTTCTTCCTACTGAATTCAGCTCTCCGTGAGTCAGAGCAAGAGGCCACATGTGAGGAACTATGGGCCCCGACAGTCCAGCCAGGATTACAGACTTCTGCTGGCCCCCTTCCAGGGACAAGAGGCTCAGAAGCCTGAAGTCTCTTCCTCCCACATGCAAGATGGGAGGGTCAGGGCTGGCTCAGTTCCTCCACGGGCTCTTGTTTGAAAAGTGGATTTGGAAAGCGGGTTTTGGTCTGAAGTTTGCACAGGCCTAGGGTTTCCAGGGGGCTCGGTGTTCACTGTGAGGGAGATTCTAAACCCCAAGAGAGAGCCTGCCCTTTGCTTCTCCCCAATAAGGAGCTTACTTGACATGTTTTATTTGAAGGGACCCATTGCTCTCAAAGAGGACAGAAACCATTGTGAGGGGGGAGAGGAAAGCCTTTTTTTGTAAAGTGAATACTAAGCCCCACTTTGGCTACGGTGCAAACTGGGGTTTGCCCCCCACCCCTCACCCCCAGGACCAGCTTCCATCTGGCTCTGGCCTCGTGAGCTATGGCATCCAGAGGTGAGCCTCTGGAGCCCGGTGGAGGACAGGTGCTCCTGGGAGATATATGGAGGAGAGGGGAGGAGCCAAAGGGAGTCCCAGGGGCCTTAGGGCTAGGCTGGTCCCCAAGGTCTCCCCACTCTGAACAGGGCACAGGTTGGGGTGAAACGGGGGCAACCCAGCCCCAGGAGGCCAGGAGCAGCATGTCCGTCAGCGTGGCTGAGAGCCATGGCTGGGACAGGGGCCACCTCTGGCCAACCCCTGAGCCAGGTGGCCACTAACGGACAAGTGGATGGAGGTGGTGGGTGGGCTCAACCTACCAGGCACGGTGACGGTGAGGGTGGTGTCTTCCATAAACCTCTCTGTCCAGTACACCGATGGCCTGGAATGCACCGTCGTGGCTCAGGGTGAGGGAAGCCGGGGCAGAGGCTTCCTAAGCCCTGCTCTGAAACAAAACTCAAGGCTCCCCATAGACACAGACACACGTGCAGACGGGGAGACAGCGAGGCAGAGGCGGGATGGCTGGGGGAAGGCCTGGTGGCGTGACCAGCGGGAAGGAAGGAGAGACTGCGGAGGCACCAGAGAGAGGGGGGAGAAAAATCTTAGCGGCACGGGGCAGGGGCAGTGTGGACTCCTGTGAGCAAGGCTGGTGTTCAGAGAAGTGGAGAGCTGGGGGAGAGGGGCCTGGGTCCTGGCTGTTCCCCCCAACACGGGCAGGAGATGGAGAGAGGAGACACCCTGGGACTTACCAGTAGATACAGAACTGCAAGTTCCTCATGCATGGGGAGATCCAGACAAAGCCCTTACAGCGGCACCCCATCCTGCGATGAGACAGCCCAGCCCCTGCCTCGCTCTGCAGCTCCCACGTGCTCAAGCGCCTCACTCTCCTGGGCCAGCACCCAGAGGCCACGGCAGGCCACCACGCCGCCCCCAGCCCCAGTGGTGAGCACCCTGACCTTTCACCCCTCGTTCACCACGCCGATGAGACCCCCTCCTCCTCGCAGACCCCCCTCCCTGCCTCCAGCAAGACCACCTGCGCCGCTCACTTGTCTCTCGAGCTTTTCCAGTTGGCCTTGGGTTTTGCCAGCTCGAGAAGCCTCCTCCTCTTCTTCTTCTTCCCTCTTCCCACGGAGAGGCTGGGGGACCTCTGGGTGATGGACAGCCGGCTTCGGGAGAGTCGGATGGTGAGGCCGGAGTTTCTGGCTCCCCAGCCCCCCGCCCCTGCCTCTCTGGGGGAAATCCTGGCATCCAAAGATGTGGACTGCCACCTTCCCTCCAGCGGCAGCCGGATGTGTGACCCCGGCCAGGTGGCCTCGTTCCCTTCCCTGCGAAGTGGAGCAGAGACCCGCCCCCGCCTCACAGGACGGCCGCAGTTATTACGTAAGACGTTGTCTCATCTCCTGCGTAGCCAGGCCCCCAGCGGGACGGAGCCACAGAGAGGCCCCGGGCAGCCCCCAGACTACGGGCGGAACGGGGCCTTCTCTCCCTTCCCGTGGCCTTGGGCTCAGACGTCCTCCCGGGGCCCTGTCCCTGCCTGCACCCTCCCCCCCACAGCACTGCCCAACGTGTCAGAAATGTCCACTGTGGGGGATGACGCCCACAGAAAGGGCAGCCGATGGAGTGGGGGGGGGGGGGGGGCGCTGCCTCCTTCCTGCCTAGACAGCCACAGTCCGGAAGAGCCCGGAACGTGGCCCAGTGGAGGGAGGGAGGGATGCACACACTGAGTCCACAGGGGAGGGGACACCTGGCTCTTTCCAGGATGCCATCAATGGCCAAAAATCAGCCCCACCAATGCTTGCTTCCCCAGGTCTCAGCTCCCAGCCATCTTCAACTTCTCTGGCAGTTTGTCGGGGTTGGGATGGTGGCAGCTTCTGAGCCAGGATTATCCCCGTTTCTTTCTCAAGGGAGGGCCAGCTCTCTTGACCTCTCAACTCTGGCATCGAAACTCTGTCTGACTCCAACATTGGAGCTTTTGTAGGGTTTTCTGCTGTCACTCACCTGCTACCTGACTGAGGTGGTGTTTGCTGACTTCACCTCAGAGGCCAGTGAGGGTATTGCCCGCCCTGTCTGATACCCTCACCCTAGAAGGACTGCATGGGCTCGGGGCAGGGGGGAGGGGGGGACCCACACTCACAGCAATGACACAGAGGCCACAGGGACACGGGGTGGGCCTGGGGACACCGCTCTCTCCCCAGGGCCTGGGCCCCACCCCAGCCTGTGTAGGCGCCACTCCCCATACCCACCTCATCTCCGTCACACCCTCCTCTTCCTCTTTCCCCCGGGCCCTCTCCAACGCTGTGAGGGCCTTTCCTGGCGCCTGGGCACCTGTAATTTCTTCCTCATTCACCTCCTCGGGGGGGATTTCCTCTTCTTGGTCTTCGAACCCCAGTTCCCCATCATCTAGGTCTTGGTACTTGGACAGTCGGCTCTCATACACAGGGTTCTGGAAGCCCAGAGGGTCATCGTCCTGTCCCCTTTCCGAGATGTCGTCCGTCTCCGAGGTATGGCAAAGGCTGAGCACATTTTGCCGATGGTCCCCCATGAACGGGACCCTCCGCCTGCCCTTCAGCCTTACTCCCAACACACCCAATGTGTCTCTGGTCACCCGGCAACAGGAGAATGGCCTGCCCGCGTTCTCAGCATCCACATTCCACTCCACGGGTGCTGCTCGTCACTGCGTACTGCGGGAGCTCCTCCCGCTGCCCCTCCACACGGTCCTATGTGGGGCCCCCTCGCTGCTCCCACCTCAGCCCCTCGTCTGTCCTCGCCTGTCACTCTGCCTCCCTTCTCCGTGCATGTGCCAGGGGCGTCCCTGCTTCAGGGCCTTTGCACTTGCTGGTCCCTCTGCCTGCAATCTTCTGCCCACACGAGTCCCAGGCCAGCCCCTACTCAGGAAGGCGGCCCCCATCCTGGTCCTGCTGCATCCCAACATTTTGTTTTATTTCTCCGAGGCATTTGTCATCACCTAAAAGGACATTGTTGACTTACTTATTTCCTACTCTTCAGACGAGGGCTTGAGAGTGTCCCATTCTGCACATCCTGGTACCTAGAATGGCACCGCCCACAGAGGGATCCCCGAAAGGGCTGTTGAATGAACAGTTAAATTGGGAGCTCGGCTCACTGCTGGAGCAGACCCGACTCCATCCTCTATTTCTTCTCTTTTTTAAAAAACAAAAATATGCCAAAACCGGTTTGGCTCAGTGGATAGAGCGTCGGTCTGCGGACTGAAAGGTCCCAGGTTCGATTCCGGTCAAGGGCATGTACCTTGGTTGCGGGCACATCCCCAGTGGGGGTGGGGGAGGGTGCAGGAGTCAGCTGATCGATGTTTCTCTCTCATCGATGTTTCTAACTCTCTATCCCTCTCCCTTCCTCTCTGTAAAAAATCAATAAAATATATTTTTTAAAATATGTTTGTATTGATTCTAGAGAGAGGAAGAAAGAGGGAGGGGGAGAGAGAAAGAGAGAGTGAGAGAGAGACATTGACTGGGCCTCTCCTGGGGATTGAGCCCACAACCAGGGAAGGTGCCCTGCCCAGGAATCCACTCTGTGGATCGTTTGGTGCATGGATGCTGCTCAACCAACTGAGCCGCACTGGCCACGCCTACATTTCTTCTTAGTAAAAGACGTCATTTGTGCTCAGATGGAGGGGGCCAATACTGGCGGTCACAGCTCCCCCAGGATTGACTTAGGAATGAGGCCTGAGGGGAACCTGCAAGGGGCTTCTAGAGATGGCTTCCTCTGGAATGAAAAGAAACACAAAGAAACAAATCCCTTGTCCCTCCTCCTTGGTTACTCATATATATATATATATATATATATATATATATATATATATAATTGCGTTTTTACAGAGAGGAAGAGAGAGGTATAGAGAGTTAGAAACATCGATCACCTGCCTCTTGCACACCCACTACTGGGAATGTGCCCGCAACCAAGGTACATGCCCTTGACCGGAATTGAACCTGGGACCTTTCAGTCTGCAGGCCGACGCTCTATCCACTGAGCCAAACCGGTTTCGGCTCCTTGGTTGCTCTTGAGACTGCCTGTGATGTCTAGAGCTCAGACAGCTCTCTTGTGACCATGACACCTGCTAGTTTGAGGATTGTGAGCTGAGGATGGGTCTTTGCTGAGGTTATGAACTTGGCAACCTTGGAGATTTCTGTGTGTGTTGGGGGGGGGAGGGGGGAGGGGGGAGGCCTCCCAGGCAGTGAGGGAAGAGGCCACCTCCCATGTCCCAGCCTCAACAGACACTACACGGACTGAGTGTTCCCTGGATGCAGGATTGTGGAAAGCAGAGCATCTTCATGACGCTAAGCCACTAACCCAGGGCTGTCGCTACGCTGCAGTCCCATCCTGAGTGATTTGTCAAGGCAGCCCAATAGCCCTGCAGGGTCCCTGACAGGTTCCCACCTCGGGAGGGAGAACACCTGCCACCTGCTACTCTGCCCCCCCCCCACCCCGTCCTGTTGGCCTGTTCACACCTCACACGCCCAGCAGCCTCATCTCTCATCACCGTGCAGTGAGCCCATCCCTCCATTTTCATGTGGCTGAGTGCCCCCAAACTCACCTAGCACATCGCCTCCTCCAAAAACCGATCCCTAACGTAGGGTGTTTTCTCACCTAAATCTTGGGGGGGGGGGGGGGGGGGTCTTACAGCATTGATCATTATCTTACTTTATATTGCATTTGTAACTGTCTTTTTACCCCATTCGAGCATGTGGGCTCAAATTGGGTGGGAACGGTGCCTGTCTAGCCTCTGCCGGGACACCTCACACCCAGAACAGGCGCGCCCCCTGCGGAGTTTTAAGAACCGCCTGAAATTGGATCTTCCTCCGGCGCCGGGGAGGAACCGCAGTACCGCAGTACGACCAACAGAGGGCGCTCCGCCCAAGGGTTTGTGGGTCTTTCTGCCCGTCTGACACCGGCTCCTTGGAGCGGAGGGGGAGGGGGGGGGAAAGCATCCTCCGAGTGGATTTCAGTACCGTCATTCCTAGGTTACCCAGAAAGGCCAAGTCACTGCCCAAGATTGCACAGCGCGGAGCATTAGCTTGCCTCTGGCGCCCGGGGCTCCCAGCGTTTGCAAATCTCAACATTTGCAAAATTCAGTAACGATGGGAAAGGCCCTGAACCAAAGGACATTTGTGTGCGTGTGAGTGTGCGTGTGTGTGTGTGTGTGTGTGTGTGTGTGTGTGTGTGTGTGGCAGAAGCTGAGGGATCCAGTGCCCTGCTTGCCTCTGGGGCAGGGAGGGTCCAGCGGAGGCAGAAACAAGGGCTCAGTGCCAAACCCTCCGCGGCTGAGTTCCCAGCGCAGTCCAGTTCCTATGGAGATGCAAGGAGTGGGAGCCTGGTGTAAAGCTTCCCTCCCTGCTCTCCGCCCGAGACTGAATTCGTCCTCCCAAAATGCAAGGGGAAAATGAGGTGGGAGGGAGTCCACATGGGGGTCCTGGGAGAGGGCCCCGGACGGTCACCCACCCCCACTCAGGTGGTGAAGGCACAGAAGGGCCCAGTAAGGCCTGTGGGGTCTGAGACGGCTGGATGGTGCCTTGCTTCTTGGGAGAGCCCTGGAGGGAGGGTGGGGCGGGGGGTGGGGGCTCCCTCTGCTGCATGTCCTTCAGTGTGTAGCAGGGTTCCTCCACAGAGGCGTTGCTGAGGTTGGGTAGTGCTCTGTGGGAGGCCACCCTGGGCGCTATGGAAGGGGGGGCAGGCCCCTGGCCCCACCCACCAGATGCCAAGAGCACCCCCAGGCCTGACAACCACTGATGTCCCCGCCGTCGCCCAGCGTCCCTGGGTGAGAACACGCACGGGGGTTAAGGCCCGGTGTGGTCCTTCCGATGAGTAACGGTGGGATGACACGCACACCATCTGCTCTTGTCTAAAATAGCACAACGTCTCTCCCTCATTATTTAAGAAACTTAGACTCCAAAAAGGGCACCAGGCTTGGGTTCGATTCCTCGGACCCTGATGGGGAGAGTCTATTTTCCTCCCACAGAGGCAGCTGGTTTCGTGGCTGCAGCGAAGACCCAGAAGAATTCCTTCCGCCCCTAAGTCTGCGTACCTGCAGGCCGTGCCTGCCCAGCGGAGACAGAGGGGAGACGAGGCTGAGCCCCGCCCTCTAGGTGTCCTACGTGTAGGCCTTTTCACAACAGGCCACAGCCATGTAACAGCCCCAAAGCCCCCCAGACCCTCTATCTCCCCCACTTGGTCCCCGAAGGGATAACCACTCTTCTGACTTCTCATAGCAATGATTCGTTTTGTCTGATTTTGACTTGATAGCAATCAAATTTTGGGCTTCTTACGCTCAAAACTATGTGAGATTCATCCATGTACATGGTCACGGCTAGGGGGCACTCCACCGAGCTGAATGGCTACACCAGGACGTTTTTTGTTGTTGTTGTTGTTCATTTCACTGTTCACAGGCACTTGGATTGGTTCCAGGTCTTGTGAGCTCCCTACTTTGGAAGGCACAGCCACTCTTGCTCACATCCCATTGGCTGGAACTTAGTCACAGGGCCATGCTTGGTTGCAAAGGAGGCTAGGAAACGTAGTCTTTTTCACACCCACACACACACACACACACTCTCTCACACACTCACAGACTGGAATTCTATTTCCAGGGCAGCCGGCCTTCTGCTCGGTAGATACCTCTGACAGTAGGCAGCTATGATTCGTGCCTCTGATGGGCTTAAGTAGAGAAGCAATGTGTTACCTCCTCCTAAAAGCGACCCCTGGGCTGCTCTGTGGCTGTGGTGGCTCTGCCTCCCTTCACACTGGATCCGTCCTCAGCTGGGCACCAGTATGGCTGCAGCCGCTGCAGGCATCTCATTGTGAAGCTGCGGTGGCCACAGGCAGAAAGGGACCACTTTCTTGGGCCTCCCTCTCGGGAACAAGGACACCTTCTGTGTCTGCAGAATAACCACCCCCAAAGGCATTCACATCTAAGTCCCCAGAACCTGGCAGTATGTTCCGTCGCCTGTCAAGGAGGAAATCAAGATTCCAGACGAAATGGTTGCTAAAACCCTGACCTTGAGATGGAGATGACCCTGGATCATCTAGATCACATGTGTCAAACACAAGGCCCGCGGGCCAAATCCGTCCCGCCAGGCCTTGCAATGTGGCCCGCCCCGCGCGCTGTCATCACTGCACTCCGCTGCGTTTCCATCACAATGACAGTTAATGGCTCAGTAAACCATTCGGCCCGCGATTTAGGCTGGATTTTAGATTTTGGCCCCTTCTCTGATTGAGTTCGACACCCCTAGTCTAGATGGTCTCGGTGTAGCGTGAGGACCTTCATACGAGGAAGCAGGATGCGGGAGAAGAGAACGAGAGACAATAGCATGAGGAACGTGTCCACCGTGTTGAAGGGGTCACTGAGCCTCGTGATGCAGTGATCCCTAGATGTTGCTCCCCTGACCTCACTCACATCTCATTGGCCAGGAGGGAGTCACATGGCCACAAGTAAAGGAGCCTCCAGCAAAGGGATAGGACACCACTGGGGATTTTCAGCAGCAGCCAGGGGGGATGGGTTTCCCTGAGTCGCACAGG